GTTTCTTGTGTCAAATGCTGCGGCTGGTTCTGTCATTGGAAAGGGTGGTTCTACTATCACTGATTTTCAATCACAATCTGGAGCGCGAATTCAGTTATCACGCAATCATGAGTTCTTTCCTGGGACTACAGATAGGATTATCATGGTTTCTGGGGCAACAAGTGAGTTACTAAAAGCTGTTGAACTCATTCTTTCTAAGTTTCTGAGCGAGGTAAACATCATTTCCATGATGTGGATTTAGTTACTTACTAAATGACAACATGTCTGGCAAACTTCCGGAATTGATTTGTCTTTTATCATCAGCTTCATACCGAGGACGAGAATACTGCCGAGCCAAAAACAAAATTGAGACTCATTGTCCCTAATAGCTCTTGTGGTGGAATAATTGGAAAGGGAGGTGCTACCATTAGGTATGAGAACTTTTATTTTGCCAACTTATGGGACTTATTTGTTTTTCAATTGCATGTTTACAAAATATTTTCTTTTGTTGCTGCTGTTGTTCTTATTGTTATTTTGGTATTTTGAGAACGTATATGAGGTAAGTTCAAAAGATTATTGTCTTAATTTATTTATTTAATTTTTTCAAATTCCTTTCAATCTGATCTATGGGTTTGTTTGGTGTCACAATTTATATTCCACCTACTTCCCCAGGAAAAGAAGGATATGTTATTGTTGGGCCAGTTATAATTTTCATTGTGCAAAACGTTCTCAGCATGTTTACATCATTTATGGATGGGCACGAAAAGCTCAGCCTGCATGTTTCTATGCTTCTGAGCAGGTCGTTTATTGAAGACTCTCAAGCTAGCATTAAGATCTCTCCCCAAGATTATAATTACTATGGATTGAATGATAGACTAGTGACGCTGATAGGAACTCTGGATGAGCAAATGCGTGCACTTGAGTTAGTTATTTCTAAGCTAGCTGAAGATCCTCATTATTCTGAGTCCATGAATACTCCATTCTCATACCCAGGTTTGTGTTACTCTTTAATTTCTGTTGCCAGTTAATCCATTATTGCTTGTTGCTACTGTAGCCTTACTATTATGTGGTGTTCATAAAATAAGCTTTTTGTTTTAGATATCCTATTGCATAAGCCTGTAAGGCCCCAAAATAAGGTACAGTTGGGAGCATAATCTTATGGAATGTAAATAGAACATAAATTTATTTTGTTCAATTTACTAGTACTGTTTCCATCTAGTAAATGGATATCGTCCCATGCGTATGTGATACCTGTCAGCTTCCTCATTTAGTAGTTAACTCATATGGATTATGTGAAATTCGTAGAATTTAACGGTGAATGTTGTTGTTTAGTTTCCTAATGTTCTGCGTAGCATGCCTCAACATGTAGTAGTTAGTAATGTGTAAGAGAATGCCTGTCATATTATATTATGAACAAGTCAGGCCATTTTACAATTACAATATGAAGCCTGGTCAATCCGTTGCTCTCCCTTTTGCCTCCCTGCTTTCCTTGTTGAAATTGATTTCATTCGCTTTTGCCTTGGAGAATTAATAAGGGATAAAATACGTAGTATGTAGTATGTCTATCAAAAGCTAGATATAGATGTAATGGAGGATGAGGGAAGATTATATTGCAGGTTTAATGAGTTAGAATTTAAACTTAACGTGAGTACTATTATCAGATTGATTCTGTTTTTGTTTGGGAAATCTATTATGGATGAAATATCATGTTTAATAGATGAAAGTTAACCCTATCATGATAAATGGCTTACGGATGTTCCGCTTTGTGTTGTAGCTGTCTGGTTGACCCCTGCAAAATGTGGAAATTCCATGCTTGACCAATTTTAAAAGGGCTATGAAGTATCAACATTCCTAGTTCACATTAAGCCGATTTTGATGCTTAGCGTGTCTCCCTTAACTTGCATTTTGATGTTTAGGTGTTGTCTTTTCCGGATATCATGGTGTTCCTTATGCCTATGTGCTTCCTTCTGTCCCAGCAGCAGCATACAATGCAACAACTTATCCACCAAATGGTGCAGGAAAGAAGTTTCAGGACGTCAAGGTTCTTCACATTCCATCAATTTCAATTTTATTTGTGCTTTCTGATTTTGAGTTGCTAAATTTTGATATGTTGAAACTGGAATGACAACTCAAGTCTTGCTATCCTCACATATAGTTTTTACCCCGCCACTGGCTAATCCTTTGAGGCTTAATGTTCCAGATGTAGTCATGCTTAATTAGTCTAGGACTATTTATAGATGAATCTGTATTCATGATAATGATATTTGGTAAACCAAGCTTTGCTGGTCCAACAATTTATAAAAAAATTCAAAAGGAGTTCTATGTATTGTTTAAATAAATTTATTTAAACAGTCACCAACTTTATGAGTGGATATACAGCAAGATAAGGAATTAAATGATATAATCACTGCTATTTATGATAATGCTACTATAACTCTGTAGTTTATGGGTCAGAACTCAATCAAACTGTTATTTTGTTTTTTTTTATTTAATTGTATTTTTTTCATGAAAGAAATGCAAGGATGTCAATCTATAGAATAAAGCAATGCAATTGCCAATGAGAAAAATGGACTATGATATGCTTATAAGGAAAAATGTTTGCCTGTCACTGCTAGTTGTAGACGCGAATGACCACTAGACATCACAGTTGCATGTTTCTAGTATCAAACTTGGGGAATATTTGTAGACACAGTAATGATGAGTTGTTTGGTTTAGTTTGGTTGAGCAAGCGGGGGGAGAGGGCAATCTTACAAATATATTGGAGTGCTGCTCAACTTGACCGACTTCAAATTACTAAGACGGAACTTAGAAATTTTGATATTAGAGTCGTTAAAGAATATGGATTGTGATTTGCCAAATCAGTAAAAGTAAATTTCATGTTTGAGGATTTTCCCCACAAACACCAGGAGGGTTTGAACTCTGAATTTACTCGCAACATTGCCCACACTTGTCAGCGCAGATGACTTGTTTGAGGTAGGGATCTAACCTGCCTCATTCTTCTCAGTGAATTGTTTGTTTATTAAGTTTTTTAAATACCATGACTCTTCCTGTATGCCTCCATGTTTATTGTATGTCAATAGCAGATGACAACTTGATTAGATCTTTGTCTAAATGCTTGCATCCTCTACATGTAAATGTGGCTCTGTCTCTAAAAGTGAACCGACAGATGGTCTTCTGTTGTTGTCCAGGAGGAGCAGAGTAAATCACTGACCATTGGCGTTGCAGATGGCCATATAGGTCTGGTTGTTGGTCGTGGCGGAAGGAATATAATGGAAATTAGTCAGGTTTTTCTAATGCTAAGTTATTATTTTATTTGGTTTTATGTGATTACTTGGTGCTTGTTATAATAAACTAAACTAGTTTCACTTCTCAGATTAGTGGGGCAAGGATTAAGATATCAGACAGGGGTGATTTCCTATCTGGAACAACTGATAGGTATGAAAAGGATCCCCCCCCCCCCCAATGAAGATTCTGCAACATTTAGATTTGCATGCCTTTATATGTATTTTGAGTGAATGTCACAATTGTTTTGAGCTTTGTTGAAAATTGTAAAAATTACTGTTTGTTTACTTAAACTTGTTTTTTTTCCTTTACATACTGGACTTCCCGTGAAATTTTTGGAAAAAAATACTCTCTTCAAAATGCATACCAATCTGCCCTGAAAATAAAAAGTGAATTACATAAAACTTTATTGAGTTTTGCTTAAATCACGAATATTCTTTTCAAGGGAAGTTTTGTGTACTTTTAAAAAAAATTCAGGAGTGGCTTGTTTTATTTGCTTTTATTTCGGGAGAGGTTTGTGGAACGTTCGCAAATAGAGAATTCTGTATAATTTTAAGAAAAATCAGGGGAGATTTATATGAATTTTAAAAATGAGAAGAGATATATTTGCAATTTCAGGAAGATAGTACTATATGTATTTTGTTAGGATTTACCATAAAGGTCTTGTGATGCTCTTTTGTCTTCATTGTGTAGGAAAGTTACGATAACCGGACCACAGGGAGCCGTACGAACGGCTAAAACTATGATAATGCAGAAGGTTGCTTATGCTGCTGAGACCGCAACGGAGTAGTTTATAATTTTATATTTGCAAGAAGCGCCCTAGTGTGTTGGGATGCGCTGGGTGAAGTGAACCTGCCTGCTAATTGCTTTTCTATTTTGCCTTTTTTCTTTTTTCTTTTTAAAAAGATTTATCTACGTAAATCCCATACTAGTGATGCGTTGGGATGTCTGAATGTTGTAGTGGGAGACGGGGCAGCATCTGTCTTGTTGGGCTCCAGTGGGAGCGATCTTATAGGAATTCTTTTCAAAACAGAGTATAAGATCCATGGGGAAGGGCATTTTTAGTGCTTCATCCAATGCAGTAATTAGAAGTATATCTTCATTCTCTTGCGTTTCACTAGATGTTGCCTGTGCAAGTAGCTAATGAGTCCAATATGTACCTCTCTTCACTGGTCGGTTTGAGATGGGATTTGAAAATTCCTTATTTTCTGTAAAAGCTATCAGCCCGTCTTTGGAAATGTCCTCCTCATGGCCTATATTTAACGGAAGCCTGGAGAATAAAGGCTGAAGAATAAGAGGCAAATTCTTGCGAACCAGGCATTTAAGCAAATTGAAGTTTATTTTTCCTTTTTCCTTCTCCACTCCTTTGAGACGTTCTTAAAAAATAAGTAGGCAGCGTGACGTAATATATCATCTCAAATACACATTGGAGTAAAATCGCAAAATCTCCTTTTGCAAGTATACTCCTGGCACGCCTTAATAACATTATTTCTTCCAAAATACCTCCATCAATCACACACAAGTCCCTAATCTGAGACGCACAATTGAGATGGAAGCTTACCCTGCTGCATTCACGAAATGGAATAAAGGGCCACACACATGCCTCGGCCCATCTCTTTGTTCGGCTGCCCATTTTCCACTGAGTCTTTGCGCCACATACCCCCGGTCCGTCCACGTATATCTGCGCACACATTACTCAAAATATAAAATGTAAATTATGTGATTTCTTTTGGTAGATTGATCATTGATTTATGAGATGTCATTGTTGGCTGCAAGATTGAGACCCAAAATGAAAGAGCGGTTCTTGCCCCTCGAGTAATAATTGAGGTTCAATATTTAGGCTGTGTATGGAACAAACCAACCTCACAAGAAAATGTTTACCTTGGTACTTAGAGAAATAAGTTTTTATTACGAATAAATGCTACTATGGGGGTGTCGGGGTGACTAAAGAGTACTATTTGTGTGTGTCTGTGTGTTTCTTTCTTTCTTTTTGGTTAGATATAGATATTGTTTTATTGAAAGTAATTCTATTCGAGATATTATTGAGCATTAAATGTAAACATCTCTTTCAACGAAAATTCGAGTCTTAGTTAAGTATAAATTTGTTTGGAATGACTTATAAATAATTTTTGAATCATGATTTATGGAATACAAAGTTTGTGACATGAGTTTTGTTTTGGTTAACTTAAAAATACTTAACAAACACTAACTTAAAGGGGTACTTGAAAAGCTGTAAAAGTGCTTTTCAAAAGTATGTTTTCACAAATCGAGACAAACACCTTCACATATTTACTTTATATACCATAAAACTACTTTTAAAATTATGGTTTCGTTTCCCTCCAAACACCTCCTAAATGAGCACCATATTGTGGGGACTAATTATTCTCGCTACATCTAATCTTCACTGATTATTTGTATTTTTCTTTCTCTATCAGTTTACATTTTCTTTGATGTGATCCAAAGCGGTGGTGCTCAGCCTCGCACGCATGCTACTTGTCTCAACAGCAAATTTTTACAAACGCACAATTTGTCCAACTATTACAACTCCGATATAATCCACATTCATGTGATGGGTGATAATAATTTGTGAGAAATTAATATTATAACCACCAATGAAACGCGAAGAGAACTCATTCTATGTGATATAATTATAATACATGGGAAAAAGACACTAAAATACCCTCAAAATTACTAAATGATAAAAGAGGGTAGGTAAATTTCAAAATCCCAATTCAGATCCCAGATACTATTTTGGAATTTTCAAATGTTGTAAAATTACACAAATGCCCTTTTTTTTTTACTTTTTTTTAAATACTGCCACATCAGCAATTCTGGCCGCCGGTGACCCTGCTGGCGACCAACTGCCGGAGCTCCTGTGACTGGTTACCGGAGTTCCGGTGACCGGTCGCCGGAGTTCCGATAACTACTCTTTTTTAGCTATTGACTACATTTATTTTTAAATTCTGATGACTACTCTTACTTATGTATTGACTACTCTTTTTTAGCTATTGATTACATTTATTTTTAAATTCTGATGACTACTCTTGCTAAGCTATTGACTACTCCAGTAATGCGATTTACTACTATTGTGTAGTCAATATCTATATAAAAATATTCATTGGAACTTTGAAAACAAAAGTTGTCAATAGTTAAAATAGAGTAGTCAATAGCTATATGAAAGTAGTCACCGATAGTAAGGACAATGTTGTCATTTTACAAGATTTGAAAATTCCAAAATAGTACCTGGGGTCTGAATTGGGATTTTGAAATTTACCTACTCTAATTTGTCATTTAGTGATTTTGAAGGTATTTTACTGTCTTTTTGCCATAATACATTGTTCGGTTAAATTATCAGAAGCCAATCATCAATCAATTTCTTGTATAGAAAGAAGCGTGTTATTATAAATTTACCGTTTCACATATCCTAAAAGGTTACTATTCACATGTAATATCAGAATCGTGAGCCCTTTTTTTTTTGGGATATCATATCACGCATTTAAATTTAAATCTCATACATTATTATTTTTCAATTTATATTTGTTTTATGTTTGGGGAAATCAGCCGCACCACACGATTGCTCATATTCGTAGTACGTACTGTTAGTGATGGCAGGTAAAAGAACGATCATAGGATATTCGGCGTTTTGCTCTGTGTTGTAGAAACGAGGTAGCTCCCATGTTTTCGGAATCTCAAGTCCTTATTAGTATTGCATGGAGGCCACGGCGCTTAAGTAAGGCAAACTCGATATCCTAATTAATTAATATCAGCAGAATTAGTTAATTATCGAATAATTTAAAAATGAGGGGGAAAAGATTCAAGTTGAGTAGAAATGTTCAATATTGATGTACGTCCAATAAGCTATGGAATTATTACAAACTGATAACTAAGAGGGCTACATATATATATATATATATATATATATATGTAATATGCCAAGAAGACAACGCATGCACTCACTAGTCACTCTGCAGGATGCTGAATTCACACTGCAACTTATTCCTCACAATCAAACCTCACCTCTTCTCATCATTAAAATTTAAACTTCATATACAGCAACTTGATTCTAAGATGATTAGTCACCCCCACCACCGTAGCCACCACCGTGGCCTGAACCATACCCAGATCCACTGCCGTTGCCGGAACCTCCATACCTGCCCCCTCCTCCTCCTCCTCCTCCACCCCCACCACCGCCACCCCCGCCACCGCCTCTGCCCCCCCCCCTTCTCCGTAGCCACCTCCTTCACCATAGCCATAGCCAGAGCCATAACCAGAACCCCCTGAACCACCCCCGCCACCTCCGCCTCCACCTCTGCCGCCACCTCCGCCGCCACCTTTTCCGCCACCAGACCCGTACCCAGACCCGTATCCCGAGCCATAGCCGGAACCCCCAGAGCCACCACCTCCTCCTCCACCCCCTCCTCTGCCGCCGCCGCCACCTCCTCCTTCAATCCCACCATATCCCTCACCCTCGCCAGAACCATAACCAGAACCGTATCCGGAACCTCGTCCAAGAACCCTTCCTCCACCTCCGCCAACACCCCGCCCTCCGCCTCTGCCGAAGAGCCCATCGGGCACTACTCGAGCCGCAAATGCGAGGTCCAAGGCAAGCAAAACGATCAAGGCAGTGGCTATGAGCTTAGAGGCAGCCATGTGCAGTGAGGAAAGCTCAACGCACGTGGAAGCTCAAGAGAAGAACGGAAGCCAGTAGAAGGGAAGAGGAATGCAGTTGGATGGGAGAGAGTGAGGGGTGGAGGCCCCTATATATAGGCATTGCGGAGTTCTAGCACCTTCCTTTTGGTACATAGAAATCAAGAAATGGGAGCATTGAGGAGGTGGGAGGCATATGATGGTGTAGGAGTCGTAGTGGGGGGGCTATCTATGCTATGACCACCGTCTGGGAGCTAAGCTTGTCTTCACCATCTTTCCGCAATTCATTCCTGTCCATACCTCCACTTTTGACCTCCCCAGCTTCCTTCTTTTTCTTTTCTTTTAATTATATGTGTGTGTGTGTGTGTATATCATAGTACACATCCACATCCAAGTCCACTCTTGTCAATTCTGTTCATATGAGAGCCACTATGAGTGAGTGGTGGATTCAGATATTTAATCATAAATTTGTCAATCCTCCTCCGCCTCTCTCCACCACGTTCATTATATAAATTCTGTGAGCCACATTCTTGTCTATATATCTTCTCCCCTCTTATTTACAAACCACTTCAAGAAAAAAAACTTTGTGATCTTTTTTTATAATTCTTTATTATAATTTTTCTCCTTCTTCCCTATTCAATATTGCTATAGGAAAAAAAAAGTAAGAAATCAATTTAAAAATGTATTTAATATGGGAAAAATAAGAAACAATAAGCTTGTTTGTGTTTCAGATAAATTTAATGAATTTTAAGCTTTTCCTTGATTGCAATGGGAAAGTGGCTTATAGATGAAAGAGAACGGAGCACATTTATGGTCCCATTAATTATATCTCAAAGTTGTGCTTCGCATGAAGCAGTTGTGTATATAAATTGTGGCGTGTATTGTATTGTTGGCGCATGTATGTGAGCACTAATGAATATTATATATAATCGCAAATGATCAGTCACTGCGAGTGCCAACCTCCGGTCAATTGAGTGATTCACTGATTAGAGATAGGTTTCGAGGCATATAATAGTTAAATGGCAGGGACTCTGACAGCTTTCAAATTCTCATTTTCCCTCTTCCCGTCCAGTATCACACGCACAAAACACGTGCTATCTATAATATAGGAAGGATACGATGTCCCACATAATTATTTACAAGATATATGTATGAAGTCCCTAATGAATTTGTTAAAATAATGAATAAGAGAACAATTATGAATGATGGTGTGATGTGTGTGTGTGTGTGTGTGTGTGTGTGTGATTGCATCATGAATCATTTTTACTCTGATTGTTTGCATAATTAGGTGAGGAATGAGCACTCTAGCTGTTCTCCACATTCGATTGTCGATCGTATCTTAGTGGGGTGATGGTTTTATTTATTTATTTATTTGATTAAAAGTAAACACAGGAAAATGTATATGATGAACTATACATTGATGCAAATTTAATTTAGGGCTTGGAATGAAAATAGTATATATAATGGCCTTATTCATATAAATATATAGATTTAAAAAATATTGAGGAAAAAATGATCGGAGGTTGGGAGAGGAGCGGATGATATTATGCATATAAAATGGGGTAATATGAACAAGGGAAAAGGAACATAATTGGGGGGGGGGGTTGGGAAATGGAATAAATAATGGGATGAGAGGTGGGAGGGGGAGAGCGGCACACGCGTCGCCCCACCTATTACGCAACGAGGGGTATTTGTGAGTCACCTACCCAGACACACACACACACACACACATATATGGTGTTGCGTATATATAAATAATCCATCACCATCCATCACTCTGAGTCACTTGGCTTTGCTTGTCATGTACGCCTCCTCCTACATGCTGCCGCGGTCCTTCCCTCCACTTCCTTTCCTTTATCTCTGAGCATATTTGTGTAACGTTATCTGTAAGTCATCTTGTGCCCTTTCCTTCCCCCATAGTTATATATGCGCATCCTCCATCACTTCTCTCTATAATTAATTAAATTACGTCCGCCTCTCTGCACATACACCAATATCTGTTCTCAAGCACCCCGCCTTCTATCCATAATTAATTATTTCCGCCCCATACACTTCATTCATCATTATCCTTCACTATACATACAAGATATTAATACACTAATTAACCGTGCATGCATATATAACAACTACTACAACTATTATTCTAATATAATTCACTGTTGGTCTTTTGCAATGAATATTATTTGTCCATATATCATTCTTTTTTTTAAGAAAAAAAATCAGAATACGCATGACATTATATATATGTGGGATGGGATTCACATGATATGAATGTGTTTGCAAATGCAACTCGTCCGCATACGTGCATTGTTGTGCACTGCTCATTGGTTAGGTTTGCTCTCATACAGTCAAAGAGTTGTTTATGCATGCCTGTGTCCTGTCATCGATCTAATAAAGTCAATCACAATTATTGATCCATATATATCAAAACACCACATATTATACATACACATGCTTCCCATTAATTACTACTTTTATAATGCAGGGCACTAACATTATACTGTTATCATTGCTATTGGGGTCAGCCTTATAAACAATTAATCATCATCTTCACTGCGGCTATATGACGATGGACGCGAATGAGCACATGTATAAAATAATAAATAGTCGACTAGCTAACTGGTCAAAGTATATACATATACATATATACATATATATATCCTTATCAAAAAATGTGTGCGCGTGCGTGTGTGCGTGTCTATAGAGATAGAGAGAGCGAATGCTGAATGGCTCACTAAGCATAATCTATGATCGCAGCCTCCTTCATAATTTAATACTGTGGGTTCTCTCCATCAACACGTACGTACATATATTCTTGCTTAAAGTTTGTAATCATTTAATTAACCACATGCTCTATATATATTCCGGTAATAATTTGCTTCTGCCGTGATATATATACTGCCACCTTCTTAATATAATATTCATATGACTAATTTAAAAAGATTAAAAAAGCTAAATAAATAACTTAATTATAATGTATGTTGCATGCTCTTTTTAGAATACACTTATCTATATCATTAGGTTACAATTTTGTCACATAATTTAAACATATAAAACCAGGATGCCTTTTTGCATATATCCATGTGTGTACTTAATGAACTGATTGAAGTTTAATTAGTGTGTTTATAACACAAATAATAAAACAAAGGAGGGACAAGAGTCAAGCATGCAAAAAATAGACATTGAAAGTGCTAAAAATGAACAAAAACATCCTCAAAGTGCTCTCCTCCGCTGCTCGCCTTTCCCATTTTTACCCGTCCGTACGTCACCATCCTCCTCTTCCCTCTCCCTCCTAAAGGGCCCTCTCCTCCTTCCCGCCCCACCCCCATCCCCATCCCCGCGAGGAAGAAAGGAGAGATCTCTCGCTTCTCACCCCTCTCTTCCTCCCCCCATGGCTCTTCCCCTCTTTCTCTTCCTCTTCCTTTCCGTTCCTCTGGTTTCTGCCGGCGGCCACCATCTCAGCCTCGACTACTACTCCCGCACATGCCCCGCCTTCCAAGCCATCGTCAGGGACAACGTCTTCACCAAGCAGAGCGCTGTCCCCGCCACTGCCGCCGGCGTCCTCCGCCTCTTCTTCCACGACTGCTTCACCGATGGATGTGACGCCTCCCTCCTCATCAGCTCCAACGGCTACGCAAAGGGCGAGCGCGACGCCGTCCCCAACCAATCCCTCTCCGGAGACGCCTTCGACGTCATCACCAAAATCAAGAACTCCCTGGAGCTGACGTGCCCAGGCGTGGTCTCCTGCGCCGACATCGTGGCCCAGACAGCCCGAGACCTGGTCAAGATGGTGGGGGGTCCTTACTATGACGTATTGCTGGGGCGAAAGGACAGCCTGGTGTCGAACATCTCAAAGCCGAACGAGACCCTGCCCGAGACGAGCATGTCGATGGACCAGATCATATTCCGGTTCACGGCAAAAGGATTCAGCATCAGGGAGATGGTGGCTCTCACGGGGGCTCACACCATAGGGTTCACGCACTGCAAGGAGTTCAGCCACAGGATCTACAACTTCAGCGCCGCGTCGGACGCGGACCCAACCATGAACCCGAAGCTGGTGGCGGGACTGAAGAAGCTGTGCGAGAACTACACCACGGACTCGGGCATAGCGGCCTTCAACGACGTGAGGTCGCCCAGTAAGTTCGACAACGCGTATTACCAGAATATTCTGAACGGGCTGGGCCTGCTGTCGACGGACTACATGATGAGCGCCGACCCGAGAACGAGGCCCATAGTGGAGGTGTACGCCAACAATCAGACGGCGTTCTTCCATGACTTCGCCGCCGCCATGCAGAGGCTTTCGACGCACCGGGTGAAGACCGGGAAGAAGGGAGAGGTGAGGCTGAGGTGTGACCAGTTCAACAACCTTCAGATGTAGAGAGGGGCTATGTGAATCGGCCTATTAATTTAAAACACTTGAGGCTTTATATTATCATACAATATATACGTATAGATCAGAAACAGCCGTGCATGGGCATATCATCATCCCACTGTCATTTCATTTATGCATGTGAGAGCGAGAGCCAACATTCAAAGGGATCGATCTAATTCTGCATATGCTTGGATTGTGATCCTTCTTTTTCTTTTTTTCCCCCGCTGGCTTTCCCGTTGATTCTTTTGTCGTTTCATCACAAAATGAGTAACAACAGGGTGATTAGATTCCTGCTAATTTATCCCTGACTAATATAATATTATCATATCTACCATAATACAGTAATTAGTTGTGGCATTGGACATTACGTTAATTGACTACTACCCGATGCTATTACACTTTACCCCCCCCCCCTTTGTTTTAATCCTTCACCGAGTCAAAGGAACTCACACACTCGTAATATTTACAGAGGATTGAACTCGTAACCTTTAAGAACATGTTCAATAGCGTTGTATCTTAACACCCCAGTGCCTTAAACAAATCATTCATCATTTGTTTTAAAACAAAAGACCCACATATATTATTTGTTGTTTGCATCGTTCTACCTCATATATCAATTACTGGCACAGATCACAAGTGCAATCATACCGCCAGCAATCCATTGGATGCTTACTGAAAGGACAAGGCCCACGGCTTCGAATTAATATAGATCCATGTAAATGTAATAATGGGCTAGCTTCTCTCTGTGTGTGTGTGTGTGTGTCGCCACTGATATATTGTAAAGCGTTTCAATTATTATGCAGATGGATGCCACTGTTCAAAAACATACTTTCAATGTCAATGTCACCTCCAATATTTTCATAATATAATATAACATGTTTTGTTTAAAGTATTAATTTTTTCACTTACAATATTCCTAACTAATTACTCCTTCCGACCCTTAAATAGAAGCTATATATTTGAGGGGTTGAACTTAACTCTAAATATGTAAATTTGTGAATTGACACACACACTATAATATTATGCATGGGTATTCTTGAGTAAATATCTTATATTGTCATCATTAATTAATTAATTTATTTTAATTAATTTGACTTTTTAAGTCCATTTAAACTAGTTAAGTAGTTCTTCTATTAAAAAAAAGAAGAATATTAAAACTTAACTAACCAAACTCCTACATCCAATAACTTTTGTTAATAATAATTTTCATATTTTCATGAAAATAACTAATTTTAATTAATTTTTTAATCTATGCAGAATTATTATTAGGTTTCTATAAAATAGGTATAAAGGGGGAGATTACTTATTTAGATTTAATGGGGTGTTTGGCTATCTCCCCAAACCATGGTTTGGAAAAAAATTTGCCAAACACCCTATAAAAATCTCAAATCATGGTTTTGGGGACAAAACTATGGTTTCGGATAAAGCCACCAGAAGCTGCTTCTGCTTCAAATTATTGAATATTGGTGGTGGGCCTAGGAAATATTACACAGAGCAGGCGTCAATTATTTGCTTCCTCCTTCACTCTTCACCAAGCTCCTGGTAAGAAATAATCATATTTTTTGTTGGCAAAATAAATTATTTTACAAAAAACATATTTACTTATTTTATTAATATATATACGTATTAATTTTTTTATTTATATTATTTATGTCTTATTTATGATGTTGCCAAAATATATATTATTAACAAGTTTATTACTTCAAATAAACATATCTTATGAAATATATCTTATATGTAATTATCATTTAAACTTATATCCTTTTTAGTAATTTCTACATATAGAAAAGTACTTCTGACAACAACTATCCAAACACTCTCACTTTATCAGAATCACTTTTTCAGAAAATCTATTCTTTCAAAATCTATTCTCTCCAGAATCTATTCTCCAGAAACTATTCTCCAAACCATAGTTTAGCTTCATCCAAACACCCCCTAAATTGTGTTACTATCAATAAGTTCTTAACAAAGAAAGCGTGAGCTCACCCTTAAAAAAAAAAAGAAGAAGAGATAATTGTAATAGAGTCTCATGAAAAGAAAATAATCACCAAATTAAAATGTTTCAACGACAAATGAGAAGTTGTTATTTTCTACTTTAAAACTTGTCATCACAAGTTGCTCAATTATTAAGTTGGTTTTGGTCCTAAATATAAAACTCATTTATCATATTTATCAGTTTTCTCTAAATTACCCCTATAGGTACTCCCTCAACCAAAATCAAGTAGAAGAGGAAGATGAGCTATTAAGGAAGATGATTATGGTGTTTTAGGAAAAACGCATCACATTTCTTATAATTAATTAACTTACCTAACTTCCTTAATCTAATCAAATTAGTCAAATGGGTCTTATATTAAGGACCGGAGGAGTATTAGAATTCTATAGCAATTATGTTCTTTTGTTGAGATTTTATTACAATTCTTCCCGGAAAAAAAGACCTTGCACATTAGCGGCATTTTTTTTTCATGCGTTCGCTGTGTTTTAAGATGCCGTAGAAGTTTAAATATTACTTCTAGTCTTTAATATAAGAGGTTATTTGATTTTTATTTTGATTCTAAATATAAGACCCCAATCTACTTTATCTCTCATATTTTTCATTTTTTTCCCAAGATAGTCCTTGTAATAACGAAAATCCTTGCCAATATACTTGATTATAAGGATATTTTAGGAAAGACAAAATATATTTGTTACAAATAACTAATTTAATTAGTTTTCTTAATCTACTCAAATTAGTCAATTAACTTTTTATATTAAGCACCAGAGGTAGTATATACTTATTTTCTTGAATATTACTGCAAGGAATGATCGAGTCTGGTCAAATATACTTATTAGCATGATCATTAGATATATTTTCCTGTAAGATATAAATTGTTTTGTAGGAGGTTTTGATATAATTTTAAGAAAATATGTGGGAAATGAACAAAAGTTTTTAATTTGCTACTTGCGATAATTTTGATTGAATGATTACGCCCTTTTTACTTTTGATATTTTAATCTTAAGAAATAATATTAACATTTAAACAAAAATCTATTTGATATTCTTAAAAATTAAAGAGATAAATTTCACAAGCTCAGGTTGAAATATCTTCCTTAACTATTGTCTCAATATTAAAACAATATTCTTTTTTCCCTTTTTTTTTTATAAAAAGAATCTTCGTGAAAGGCCAAGAGAATCTGCCAAATAATGGAGAGATTCTGAGGAAACTAAAAGAAGGCCTAGCAAATTGAATCCATGTTGCGATATGAATATATTCATGACGCGCACAGGCCGGTGACCACTCAGAAAACAAACAATTTGTGATTTATAAGTCCGCTCACTCCATAATCCGTCATTGCATGTAAATCCAAACCTTGAAACGACGTTTTGTGGATTATGTTTACTGTACATTGACTCTTGACGTGTCATTTCCGTAGCCTCACACCAATATTTCAAACCATCCTGTTCCTGTCTCCCCCCTCCATCTCCTTCCTTTCCCTTTGCTCACTGCTTACTTCTCCAACGTCTGCACCCTGAAACAGGCACTCTCTGTCAAGACAAGCGTCCTTTACTTTCTTCCGTAAGGAGAAGCTCTTCTTGAGCTTCTTTATCGGTGGTGCATAGATAAACCTTTTCTTTCTTATCTGAAATTCTGTGCCCCTCTCTCTCTGCTGCCATGGCCGTGGCAGAGTTCAAACCCTCTAACACCATAACCCATCTTCGCTCTTCTTCCCAGCTCTCAATTCTATCGAAACGTCTCAGTCTCACCAAACCATACCACTGTACTTTCCGAACTCTTAATAGAACCCAAAATGCCAGGATATCTTGCTCTATTGCTCCAAAGTAAGCTCCTTATCTCTCCCCCCACCTCTGTTTATTTAACAAATTCAACTCAATGAATATGAGTATTTTTTCAATTTTTTGTCTTCTCTTTCTGCCCAGTGAAGTTCAAGCGCCAGCGGTGCAAACCCAAGACCCCAAGAGTAAGCCTGATTGCTATGGTGTTTTCTGCCTTACCTATGATTTGAAGGCTGTAAGTACCCTTCTTTCGTTCAGCAATAAGCACCGGTGCTTACTAAAGAAAAAGATAGAATTTTCTGACTCCAGATTGCATTTAGACACTACATATTTTGTTGTTTCTTGCGTTGCTTCTTAGATTTTGTCCATGTAACTATGTTGCAATAAATGTTCTTGAACCCACAATCTGGGTTTTATAAATGCTCTATGAAGCAACAGTTTGAAGACAAAGTCGCATGGACTATTTGTATTGCATTGTGTGTCGTATTTGTGTCAGTATTCGTGTTTTTCTAGTCCATGATTCTGTAAGTATGCTCTTTCTTGGTACTGATTGGTTTGTGGGTTTTACTATGGTGTTTGTTTGACTTATGGAGCAATAACTGCCTGTTTTAAGGTTTTGATGGCGTTCCTTTTGTTTCCCATTATGTGCATAATGATGCATAATTCCCATGGTACGGGTTGGAGCATCTTTGTCCTTATCCATACATCTTCTCTGCTTTTCGGAAGTGTGATGTATTCAGATGTTTGTAACTTTCTCTTTTGTATGTGTAGAATCAGATGCTTGACTTTTGTTTATACGTGTCCTCATTAATTTTTTGTGTTGGTGACTCCAGTAAAAACAATAAGATTCTTAAGATATATCTTGACAATTAGTTTTTGCCTTTTCGTTTATACCAGATTTTTATCTTACTAGTTAAATTGAAATGAGGAAACATTTCATAGCACAAGCAGGCTAATAGTAGTTCTTCTTTTTAAAATTATCTCCATATTTTTAACTTGACATGAACTCAATGCTAAGTGGATATGCTTGATATCAACTCAATGCTAAGTGGATCTGCTTAGTGTAGCAAGACTACCATCTGTTCTTTATCGTCCGGACTCTTAAATCTTTTGATTTAATTGGAGTTCACTGGTAATGGCCAAGTTAATGAGCGAATTCAACAAGTATCAATATATGTATATACTATCTCCTGATATCTAAATTTCTTGCTCAAAATCATCTGAGGCCTACATCAGGAACATTATGAGTGATTCAACCATCATATTGTCTATGGAATTATGCATTTATACTGCTATCTTATTGAAATATTTAAATTATTGTGCAGTCACGAAAAAACTGCAATATCAACAACTGATATCATATTGGGAAGATTATTTATCAGTTTGTGTGCATACGTGTGTAGCATTTGAGTTCTTTCACTGTTTATGGGGGTTAGTTTTAATCAATTGGCCTGGGTGTTTACAGGAAGCAGAGACAAAATCCTGGAAGAAACTAATGAACATTGCAGTCTCAGGTGCTGCTGGGATGATTGCTAATCATCTTCTTTTCAAGGTATACGTATCTCAGATCTAAATCTACAATTACGTGACTGAAGCAGATTAGTATTTCAGTTTATGTTGTCTTATCCATATTCTGTTATTTTTCACTTTCCTGCTAGTGGCTTCAGATTGCGAGTTTCCTATCATAGGGAAGGGATGAACTATAGCCCATATGATATATTCCCTTTCCGCTAATTGATTAAAGCGTTGCTACATCAACCTCTTTTGTCCTGGCTTTAGCTACTTAGCATTTTCGGCAATCAAGAGACAGAAACTTAGGCTATGTTTGCTGTACAGTTTGATGGGTATGGTAGGGAAAAGGGAAAGAGAAGTGAATGGAACATGACCCTTTTGCCCTTCCTAAACAACAATATTATAGACATGGGAACAAAAGTGCATTGCTATTTTCATGATTTCAATTCTCTCTCCCTTCAGCTTGGTAACATGGCCTTATAACATTAAAAATATGGTTTGATATGCATCCCTTTGAGTTTGATTTATCTATCTTGAAGATATGCTGGATGCACTAAATTCTTGTATTTTTGCTGGGAAGCTTGTAGCCAATTAAATTTGGACTGTTACAGACCACGTAATTCATACTGAGGAGTCTGAAGTGTTAAGTACTCCTGTCCTGGGTGATATTGCAAATTATTATTTCATTTTCATATACTTGGGTAGCTTTTCCCTCCAAATTAGTTAGATACTTCCTGCTTTATAATTTCAGTCACGCAATCTATCATGTTTCCTTTGGTATTTGACTTGGTTTATTATGTCAGCTTGCATCTGGTGAGGTATTTGGTCCTGACCAACCTATCGCTCTGAAATTATTGGGATCTGAAAGATCATTCCAAGCTCTTGAAGGTTAGCCTCTTAAAAATATAATAACATTGGATTTACTTTCAGTTAGAATAAACAAGTGCACCATCTTTTGCCAAAAGGACAGGTAAAGCTTACCTGAAATCCTCCCCCAGCTTCTAATAATCTGTGGTCTCAAAATTTGGGGTTAAATCAAGGTAGTCAACCACGTAATCTGTTGTTCATGAGAGATATCCCTTGTGAAGTTAGTAAGAAGACCACGTTTAATTACAAGAAGACAATTGACTTTCGGTTTTGGTTATGAGAAGCTCTGCAACTGTACACATTTAGTGCTCTGGCACCTTCTGTTAATGCATGTCTTTCAGACTTTAACTATAAACTGAACGAGTATGTCATGGTGTTCTGCCTAGGACCTGGCTGAATATGCAGCCGAGAGAAAGATGGCATTTTAAATGTTAAAATGGAGAATAAATGCTTCCAATTATTGCTTGATCAAGTGGAAACGTTTCAATTTGCCATTATGAGTAGTTTATTTCATGGTTACATTGAACAACAGAATAAAATAAAATTCTTGATACTTTCCAGAAACAAACTTAAATTTGCAGGTCAATATCAATCTTGCTGCAGTAGTTTCCTCTACGTGAGGACAACATTATTCACCTATGCCGCCTACTGAAATAAAGCTGTTCTTGATGTTGGTTGATGATTAAATAATGTTAACGTGTTTTAATTTTTATTTCCTAATTCAACATATAGGAGTTGCGATGGAGCTGGAGGACTCATTGTTTCCTTTGCTGAGAGAGGTGAGCATTGGGATTGATCCGTATGAGGTGTTCCAAGAAGCAGATTGGGCCTTGTTAATTGGTGCAAAGCCTCGAGGTCCTGGAATGGAGCGAGCTGACTTATTAGACATAAATGGACAGATCTTTGCGGAACAGGTAAAGTGGTATCAGACATAGGTCCTTGTCTAACTACTGTCAGCTGGACGATAGTCAACAGTACTGACCTGAAATCTTTTATTTGGACCATAGGGAAAGGCGCTGAATGCTGTGGCCTCACGCAATGTCAAAGTTATAGTTGTAGGCAACCCTTGCAATACGAAGTGAGTGAAAGTTTATTTTTCTTTGTGTTTTGTGTTCAAACTTGGGGCATGTTAGGCCTTTTAATACTGATGTATATGTGTTTGTGTGTTTTCATGCAGTGCATTGATATGCTTAAAAAATGCTCCTAATATTCCTGCTAAGAATTTTCATGCTCTGACTCGCTTAGATGAGAATAGAGCTAAATGTCAGGTAAACAGAGTTTATGAACTCCACTTGATTCATATTGCAGTGAAAGAAATACTTATTAGTTTTTTTGTCTTTGCTCAATTATTTGCACAGCTTGCTTTGAAAGCTGGTGTCTTCTACGATAAAGTTTCAAATATGACCATATGGGGCAACCACTCAACTACTCAGGTCATTGAAGAATTCTTTCTTGAGGAGATGTACTTTTTGGTCCTTCTATCTTTATCCCTATCCAATTCAGTCCATGCATACTTCCGAATCTATGTATGTTTGCCTGTTTCGATTCCCAGGTGTATTGACAACTGGAAATTTGGAATCTCTCCGGAACTGTGTTTTCTGGGAATAAAATCTAAGGACCAAAAATTATATTGCCTTGAGTTTTATTGCTCATGAATAGAATCTTCTTCATGTTCTTTCATGACACGGTGTTACATAACACACAGGTCCCCGACTTCTTAAATGCCAGAATCGATTCTTTGCCTGTTAAAGAAGTGATTAAGGACCATAAGTGGTTAGAGAATGAATTCACTGAAAATGTTCAAAAGGTAAAACTTGTAATGCGCTTGATTTTTTAGCTACATGTGAAAATGATGCATAATCCACACTACTTTTTGGTCTTATTGGCAATAGCTGACAAGTAAGTCTCTTGGTTGGCAGAGAGGTGGCTTGCTTATTCAAAAGTGGGGAAGATCATCAGCTGCATCAACTGCTGTGTCAGTTGTTGATGCCATACGGTCTTTAACCATTCCTACTCCTGAGGGTGATTGGTTTTCATCTGGCGTAAGTCACTCTTAGTTAAATGACACTGGAGAAAATTGACACGGATAACTGAGAAGTGAAGCATACATTATTATAATTCCTGGTTGTTTATGGAATTCAAATAACATTACAAACAACCATCTTGAAAATTTCAGCCAGGATGAATTTTTTTAATGTGCTTGACTCCAAAATGAACATGTCTCGTAAGTGCTCTTACCAGAAGTCATATGACTGACACTTTGAGCAAACTAAGAATAACCCTCTTCAAATGTAGCCTAATCAGAACTTTGGTATACAAATTTTGAAACATAACACAACTTCTAAGCTGTCAACAAAATATGTTATGTATCAGTTAGACCTAACGTTTAAAAAAGTCACATGACGACCACGTAATCTAGTGTCTCTTCTCCAGTTTCTTCCTCATGAATCATGATATTGTAGCCTGCAATTCAAATTCCCAGTTTCTGAGAAATTAATTTCAACTAACATGTAATATTTTCACTTTCTGTGATAAAGTGTTGTGTTAAAGTTTGTATACCGGAGGCTGCTGTCCCCGGGAGTTATATGTAGTGCCTCCTGAAACATTGAAAGTGCATGCAAACCATGATTTGCACGTAATCTTGTACTCTATGTGTCATCCCTTGTACTCTAATCTCACAATGTGCAAATGCAAAACCAGGTGTATACCAACGGAAATCCTTATGGTATAGCCGAAGATATTGTTTTCAGTATGCCATGCCGATCAAAAGTGAGTCTCTGTGTGACATTACTTCTTGGGAAAATTACATCTAAGGACTCAGATGTTAACATGTCTAGATAAGAGGACCTCACAAATCCTAATTAGTTTCAAGGACAAAAGTCACTTCCGGGTTTTTATTGAATTTATTATCAGTTTTGCTGGATTCATTACAAAGTTGTTCAAAACTATTTTTCTAAAATCTAGTAGTCATTTGTCTAAGCCTGAGATCAAATCTGGTTGGAAGTCTAGTAAGTTTGGCTTTGAAAATAATCATGATTTCCGAGGCCTGTTAACCAAAATATTGTAACATATGGGTCCTACGGTGTAATTTTCCCTGACAGATGCTTGAATTACATTGCTTCTTATGCGTTCTTGTCATCCTTTAGGGAGATGGTGATTATGAGCTTGTCAAGGATGTCATATTTGATGACTATCTTCGGCAGCGAATAGCTAAGGTATACATCTAATTTTATTTATTTCAGACTTAGTTTGAAACATAAGGCTTATAATCTAGTTATCTTAAGAAAAAAGATGAGCGGTAGCTCATCCGATGTGGTTTGATTTGGAATTGATTTCCCTTTTTGTAGTTTTAAGTGTCTACTTGATCAACAGTGTATAGTAATCTGGGGCTAATGTCAGGATTAAGATGACATTCAACATTCAAAGATTGAAATTTGGAGCTCAGTTCACATAATAGCTTCAATGCATTAAATCTTTTCAAACCATTTGGTTACAATAACAAATTTTTAATGATCAGGTGTGCCCTAATTATTTAAAATTTGGCTGTGGAAGGAACCATTCAACGTGGCAAACTATTATTAATATAGTGGCTCATGCGTCACTTCGTACATTTTTGCCTTATCCGTGTAATGAACCTTGAATTTTGCAGACGGAAGCTGAGTTGCTGGCTGAGAAGAGATGTGTGGCTCACCTAACGGGCGAGGTAAGACACCGTATCAACATCTCTAGTAGTGCAAATATTATTAACATGTGAACAGTTTAAAAGTAGATCCTATATATCCTGCTTGAAGTTAACAAATATGCTTAAATGGTTTTCAAGATGGAGTGGCTATCCTTCCATGGTTTTGGACCAACCAAGCTTCCAAGAATGCTTACATATCTGTCTATTTTATGTGTTCGAATGAAGCACCCATATTTTATCTAATATAGTGAGGATTAAAGAAGAAATGCCAAATTAAATGGCATTTAAACACTAACATATATAGATGAAGCCTCTTGTTGTATGGCGTCGTCTGAACATTTTCTTTTGTGGGAACAGGGAATTGCTGTCTGCGATCTGCCTGGTGGTGATACCATGCTGCCAGGAGAGATGTAACTAAATAGTAAGGAGGGCCTGAAGGTCGTTACAGATATTGAGAACAGGTTCACACAAAGTGATGCAGAATAAAGGCGGATGGGCTATTTAAAGTATAGGTTTATGAATAATGAGTATGACTTTTGTAATTCATTTTGACGACATTATGGAAACTTAATCTGAAACCTATCCCCATGGCCTCGGGAGGCTGGAGCTCTTCGCAAGTCGTAACAATGATTGTCTTGTTCATGTTTGTCGGCTCTGGTCTGGTCTTGTTTCAAATTCATGCCCACAAGTATTTTACATCTAACACAGCTCAACATCAGTCTCTCTCGAGACTTCATAAACACAAGTTTTCTGAATCATAACAGCTAGCAAATTAAATACTCTTGGGAGAATGCATGATTGCAACAGAGACCTTAGATGTCTGTAAGAGCAGGAGCCAAATTTGAAATGCATATACAAGATAAAGATACAGTTCAAGTTTATCAAATCTACAGCATAAAGTCTGGCGAAGTTTAAAATGCATATAAGCTGTACGAATTACAGTGAACAAATAGATATCATAGGAGCACCGCGTAACAGTATATATAAGACAAAGTTATTGCATGTACTTCCAAGGTTAATATTAGATCTTCTGTACTTACCTTTATACTTTTTAAATTTTAATTTTACCAAGAGCTAATGATTTTCCCGGTGAAAAGAGCTAATAATACTTTAGAAGATACAAAGAATTCGATCTTTCGCAAGAATTCTGATTTTTTGTCGTTCGTGTCTCAAATTGTTCTTCCTATATTTGAAGCAGACAAATCTACAGGTTGCGTCATTCCTAATCCTGGTCCTCCAACAGGAAAACACACATAAGCACCAGAGCTCGCTTGGCTGCGTACAGTCCCTCGTATCATGACAAGCCTTCGGATTATCATTTACTGGCATACATGAAACTTCCAATCTTGAAACTCAGTGAAAGAATCAGCACTGAAAAGAAGACTAAGTAAATCCAGCCGTGTGATACTACAAATGCAGACTTCCCAGAGAGTAAACCAGAAATGGGCACTAAATCAACAGAGTTAACAGCAGGCCAAAAGCAAGATGAGATTACAAAACTGAACTCTCCATTTTTGCCCCGCATCCAGTTCATCCTGTTGCCTGTTACACTGAAGTCTGTTATTCTGATCATACCTGCAGTTACATCAGCTGAATTGGAACATTCACCCGTGGAATGAAGACGAAGCGCAATTTCTTTAGGCAGGAACTCTGAAGTAAATGCAGGGGAAGCAGCAGTACTGCCCAACAAGTGATTGGCCTGCTTCATAAATGGGTGTGTATTTCCTGCCAAACAAAGTACAGAATACCTGCCCCATATTACTACAAGTTCAAAAGAGAAATATAAAAGTAATAAAACTGAAACAATGGGGATAAACTATCAGTTTACAAGTTCTCATTATTTTGTGATTTACAGGCGCGCATGCACAAGAAAAATAACTGGACGTTAGGAGTTCTAGGCCAACTAGTTTCTCACCTGAAACCAAATTTGATGCCTCTAGATGCTGCTTCAAAGAAGCCTCTTCGCTGGAATGGGCTTCCGCATCAATTTTACTTGCCATGAGAGTATCCTTAGATTCTCTGCCCACATTCTGTAAACAAGCATAAGGGTTTAATATAATGTTATCATGAAAATCAGAGAGGCCTCTAATAATCTAATGCCCTTACCGGTGGCGTTAAAGGTGATCTTTGGTCAGCATCAGGGTTTTCACTCCCTGCCAACTCAGGAGAATCGAAAGAGATATACTGGGAAATATCATCACCGTCATTAAAGTACACAAGATACTCTTCTAGTACATCAGTATCAGCAGGATTTGCCTCAGCAGGATTCACCAGATCATCGGTTTCCAGGAAAGACCCCCCAGTGGCATCCAAGCATCTCCCATCAAATGTACGATTGTGACTCAAGATATATCCTTCGTGACTTGCTTCAGCCTTGATGCCATCTATCACTGGACTGCTAACTGAAGCATATTGCGCAGGCTTATTCAATAAAAAGTCATCTCGAGCCTCAGAAGTTTGAGCAGTTCCTACCAAGGGCTTTTGATCTTCAATCAATTCTTGGGAACCCTCAGGATAACTGCTGCACTCCCCATGATGGACGTTTAAAGCATGGCCAGCACCTTCGGATGCCACACCCGTATCAAGGTACTGGTAATACAAAGCAATTTCCAAAATTAGAGAAATTTATCATGCGAGCAAGCTAACTTTAAAGAAGGAGACACGTTGAAGAAGCATAAGCAATGACAGATATTCTATTAAAAATAAAAAGGATATAAATATAACAAATGGCTTGCTCCCTAGATAGTCGAGTTAGTATAATTCACACTCAATGTATCTCAATATGCATTAATATTTATGAGAAAAAGTGTTAGATGAGCCAGTTAATTACTTACTTAGCAGCTACAGTAAGATAATATAAGTTACAGAATAGTTTTCCATATATATACAATAAACGAAATAGATTTAGTAATTTAGGCAATACAAGATTTAAGACGAGTTATCTAAACTGCGGCAGCAATGATAAGATATAGGAAATACAACATCAGAGTCAAAAGCTTACAGAGACTGACATAGTCCTGTAACCTCAGAAAAATTAAAATCATTACGCGTTATATGCCATATTGATGTTGAGACGGATACATGAAGATATCTCTTACTGGTAGGAAGGGTATATAAAAACTAAAACAGTAGTAGACATAAATCAGACGCCAAAAAATGAATGTATTTACAATTATATTTCCAACTGATAGGCAGGGAAACTTCTCCCAGCAGGCAACCAAAGGACTTTTCCACACAGTAACAACATGCTTGAAATAGAGAACAGACCTGGTCAAGATCATCCGTTTCAACAAAAGCATTTTCACGAACCATTATTTCATCAGCTGCGGCCTCATCTCCGGGGAGTGAAGCCACAGCAACATCATCATCTTCCCATTCCTCCTCTAGAAAGGGGGCACCATACTGCTCCCCATTCTTTGGACCAGTACCACTCTTCTGGAAAATCCTACAGAGTACGAACGCATCCTTCACCGCCCAGAAGGAAAACTATTTAGCATCGGTATATAATGAACCTTACATAAATGTAGGGTAAGATGATAATTTGGATCGGAATTATTATGTTTCATTCCTTTAAGAATTTCTGATGCCACGAGTTATTCCCTAAAATTAACAGACTAAATGGTCAGAATTCCAGAAAAGCTAACTTATAGTAATTTTAAGGTTGGGGATTAAAGCTACAGGACCTAATTTAGTTCAATATGTGTGTGTGTGTGTGTGTGTGTGTGTGTATCAAAGAAGAAATGAACTATGTAAACATAGGCGAAACAGATAACAAGCCACCTGTGGTATTCCGGCTTTTGCCAATTCTTCATCAGCCGATCTGTACTCGTGCATGACCCAATTGGTACGGGTACCGCGCGGCGCCCGCCCACTATGATAAACGAGGGTCTTCTTCATTCCGACGTTACGACAGCTGTGACGAACTGGGCGATCCTTGCCTGTAGTCTTCCAGTATCCTTTCTCAGTGGCCCGATTCGTCTTCGACCCATTTCCATACTTCTTGTCCAGCGCACTGAAGAAGTACCACTCCAAGTCCCTGCTTTTCAGCTTCGACTGACCTATAACGCCACCACAAGGGGGAAAATGGAAAAAATGAAAAGAGGCTCAGAAATGATCACCTTCGGAAGGGCAAAAGCCAGTATAGAAAAACGAGGAGTCATATAGAAATGAATAGCTATTAGAAAAATAAGGATACATAATCGAGCCTCGAAATGAGAAAGAAGAGAAGAGGGCTAACATGGGAGGTCCCAGGGTTCGGATTTATAGATGTCAACAACGGCGATAGGGTCGAAGCGAAAGGATTTGCCGGAGACCTTGCGTCGGAGGTAGTAACGAACGAGTTCTTCGTCGGTGGGGTGGAATCGGAAGCCGGGAGCGAGGGAAGTTGGAGAATCAGGACCCATGAGAGGGAGGCAATCGAGATGAATTGCCGAGAGGGGATTAGGAAGAAGTTTGATATTACGAAGAGGAAAGGTAAGGGGGAAGGGAAGCAAAGGAAAGCAGGGGGAGAGAAAAGAAACGAAGGTTCCAGGAAGGCACAAGGCAGGTTGGACCAGAGGCAGTACGGACTATGCATGCCGTGTGGGGAGAACGGAAAGGAAATGGGACGGAAAAGGTTTTTCCTGTCTAATTTTCAAATGGGGTGGGTGAGAGAGGTAGGTTCGGGTCTGAGCTCAACACCCAGCCACGTGAGCCAGGAGCTGAGGCCACAAGTAAGGGTGTTCATGGAACCCAGTGGCTCGTTATGCCCGTCCAAACCCGTAAGAAAATGTCTAGCCCGTCCTAAAAAAAATAGTCCAAAAGATATATTGGGCATGTTCAGGCTGGGCAAATTGTCGGGTAGGACTGGGCATCGGGCATGGTATGCTGTCCTGCCCATTTGGCCCTGCCCGCAAAAATGTATATAATTTTATTTATATATATTTTATTTGTCTCATATTTATCTCCTGAATCAAACACATTGTTGTATCAATATTCAATATTCATTATACTTATTTATTTTCAAATGATTTTGAGAGTAAACATGTTATCATTTACTATGATTTGTATAACCATTTTCTTTTTTAGTACAAACATTATGACCATTAGCAATTTATATAATTGATCCATGCTCTTATGAGTATTTGGGAGTTATGGAAAAAAAAAATTTACATTTGGTTGAGAAATTTTAGAAACTAGAAAAGCAATTAAGTTTAATAAAGTATACTAACAACATTTTTGTTTGTCATAATTTACTCCTCTTAGCTACTATAAAATGTTGTTTCATAATATATTAATTAGAAATAACTAAATTAAGGTCAAGTTGCCATTTTAATATAAAGTTATATTAGATTATCTAGAGGAACATAAATAACTAGTTAAGTAATATAGTATATTGATTTGCTGGGTATGGAAGCCCGTCCTGCTGATCCTCAATGTCGCTTTGGGTCAAATTAAATTAAATTTAGAATGCAGCAAGTGATGCAAACCAAAGTCGTTCTCTTATTGGAACCAAAAATTAACTAGGTCCTAAATTAACTAAAAATCAAAATTGCTATTAAAAAGGGTTTTTTTTGTTTTTTTTTTAAATTTAAAAACTACTTTGTAAAATAAATTGAAACCAATTCTAAATATATTTTTTTTTGGATTTTTTTAATATAAAAATTGAAAAGATAATTTGAAATTGAAATTGAAAGAAAATTAATTAAAAGAAAAGTAGCAAATGAAAATTTTGGATTTTAAGGAGATATGAGATAATGCTTCTTGGAAAATGGAAATTGGGTTATCCTTGCTCAAAATGATTTGGGAGTTATTTTGTTCACTAATTTAAAATCAAAACCTTAATCACTGATTAAGTCAAGCAATTTCAATTAATAGATGTCCTAAGACTCTAGCTACAACTACCAATTAAAATTACCTTTGAAAACCTATTAGTGTGCAATTAGGATTAGATTAATGCAATTCGGGTCTCTATGCAAAGAATACTCAACTTGAGATATTCAATAAGTACCATACAATTATAACATTCATCCAAACTATGAAAGAATAGCATAACCATATAGAACTCCAAACTGGATATAAATATAAATCTCAAATTGCAAAATCCAATCTCAATCACAAAAATTCAATTCTAAACTAAGAATTATAACTAATAATCTCAGAAAATTTAATTAAATAATATCAATTCTAACTCAGAAAATCCATTACTCAATTAAATTAAAAGAATTGAAACAGAAAAACTCCGCTCAGACCCAATACTCCATCTCCAAGAAGCTCGATGAAATTAGCTGGACATGATTTGAATTTCTCCCATCGTTAGTTCACTGTGCAATTCGGCCATGGAAGAAGAAGAAGCTGGCGTTGATGATCTGGCCGAAGACAATGACAGAAGCAGAACAGAACTTGCCGGCGGTTACTCAAACAGTGAAGGTCGCTACTTGCTGCCTCCCCTGTTTCAGCGTTGCTGAGGAAAGTCGGGAATGATGATGGTTGGCGATGATTGAAAATGATGTTGGTGGAAGATAGAGGACGGTGAGATTGGATGATAATGATTGTGGTAAATAGTGAATGGAGGTAGCGTGCGGTGAATGGAATCCGTGGGTTTGAAGGTGATGAATGAAGAATGGGTGTGGCGTGGATGGGTGTGTATATTACCCTTCTCTCAGCTCTGCCGCCACTGCGAAGATGATGATGATCGTGGAACGTGCGCGTGAAGGAAGATTGGAGGTGGCGTGTGGTGAATGGAATCCGTGGATGGAATGCGTCCTCTCCTCCTCGGTCATATATATATATGTGTATAAAGATGTATAATATCAAGCTTTGCCGCCACTGTTCCGCCCTTTTCTCCCTCCAGGAAGTGATAATGGTGCAACCCTAAATTCAAACCTTGCAATATCTCCCAAATTTTCTATAACAAAATCTAAGATAATGTGATATGATATATTTTTTTCAAGAAGATCAATCAGTTAAACTAAATCATAAAAATATGATATTTTTGCCCCTTTTTAGCACTATTTTCATCCAATCACAATTAATCCAATTTAATCATAATAAATGCAATTAAGCCCAATTTAATTGATAAAAATCCCAAATAAGATATGGAAAATCAATATAAAATCAGGATTTATCACCTGCCTAGCCCGCATTTGTCCAACCTGAACTTACTAAGGCTTTTCATGGGCAGGGCCGGGCAATGGGCTGTATTTTCAAGCCCGTTCATTTTTCGGGCTGGGCATCGGGCAAGGGTCCAGCCCAGCCCAGCCCAGCCCAGCCCATGTGCAGTCCTAGTCACAAGGTGTAAATATCTGTCTACGTAGAAAATGGAGTTTGTGATCTGCATTGGCTTCTTTTCTTCATATTTTATGAACACCCAAGTTTCAGACATTCAAATTCGAAAGGGATGACCCACGCCCACATGCATGGCTTTTTGAGATGGAATCTACGCAATTCCATCTATTTTTCTATTAATTTGATTATATTGTGACCAACCAATTTTTAAACACTTAGCGTCATGTTCTTGTTAGTTTAAAAAAGAGTTGTCAGTTGTTGACGTGAATATGGCTACCTTTGTAACGTCATTGATCCATATAGTGTTTAAAAAAAAAATGACGATATTGTTTCCAAGTTTAGGTTTAGATGTTATTGATGGCATCGTCATCCTTGTGAGCATTAGTGTGGGATCTTTGTCTATCTCAGAAATTTAGGATCCGTTTTCAAAGGATTGATTGGAATGAAAATGAATAAAAAAAAACATTAAAATGAAAAGAATGGAAAATTTCTAGCCGTGAGTGTTTGGTTGACGCTAAAATTAAAAATGAGTTTAATGAAAAATTTATATTTAGTTGGATGAAAGGAAGTGAGAAAATTGAGTTATATTACCATATCATCCCTAATGAAAGAACATAATATTATGAAATAAAAAAATACTTTTAAAACTTATACAATAATATTATTATTAAAAAAATCAATAAATTATCATTTAAATAAATTTGAATATTTAACATAAATATAAAAATCACTATACATATTAAATGATTAAAAATTAAATAACAAAATATAAATAAAATATATTAAAGAAAAAAAAACTCAATTCGAATATGCTACAGAATTATAGTAAATTTTGCAACTTTCGCACAAAATTCCATGTGTGCTATACTCTGTTATGTTCTGTTTTTTACATAGTAGAATTTCAAATCTGGACCAAGAGAAGACCTTCTCTGACGCATACAATTCTAGAGCGTTCAAATGGATGAGCCAAGTATTGCAAGGTTTGGAGAGTCCTGCTATAAGGGGACACATGGAAGTAAAGTTTCCAATTGAGTTTCATGTTTGAGAGGCAAGTCGAGAGCCGAGTCCTTAATCCTGCATCCACATTCCTCTGCTTGCCTTTGTGGGTGAGAACTATATATCATGGTCGTTGGCTTTCTCCATGTCAAACCAGGATGATCCTTCAGGGCCTTCGAGGCGAAGCTTTAGGGGATGGATGCATCAGTGTCGTTCTTAAAAAATCTTTCAGCTATTCAATGGTTATTGTGGCTTTGGATTTCATTTGGATTGAAATTCCGATAAACAGGAAAAAAAATGGAGTTGAAAGGTAGAGGAGACGAGAGAGAGTTGAGTTTTTAAAGGTAAATGAGTCAACAGGTTTTTCAAGTGTGCGACTGAAAATTGGTTCTCACCCATTTTGGTGGGAACCCATTTTCAGCTCTCTAAAGGCAAATCACTGTCCAGCCACAATTTCCTTTCCCTTCTCTTCTTTCAACCAAACATCCGCGCCACTTGAAAATTCCCATTTTTCATTTCCTTTGCCAGATTTTTTTGGAGCCAAACGGGGCCTATTTATAGTGGGCTGTGGCTGTCCTCTCTTTTGATCCCAAGGAAATATGTTCCTCTCCAAGTCTAGATGTGTGGGAGTGAGAGACATAAAATGTTAGGGGAGTCAAAAACCATTGAATAGAAGGAGAGCACTACAAATACTTCCTCCTAATCCTTTAATTATTCATGAATCCTTATTATTACAAAATCACACAGAGAGCAATATGGTAAATAAGCATTTAATAAAGTCCACTTAATTAAATTTTTTCCTTCCTTACGCTCACCATAATATGCTCTTGTATTTTGTGCGTGTGTACTGTTTACTTTTTATTGACTACTTGGGGAAATGAAACATTCAATGAAATGAATTTAACATATCGGAAAAACTTGCTTAATAAATGAGTTCAATCAAATCTAAAGGCCCGTTTAAAAAAACCCTGATTATTTCAACCTCTGCACCCCACTTAAACACACCCTGATTATTTGCAGCGGCCGCAGCATGCTGCAATCCAACGCCATTATAAATAGTAAGTACCAGCTTTTGGACAAATGAAACCACATAGATTCAATTTATATACCGTGAAAAGTTCGTTCCGCCTCTGTTATCAATTCGAACGGCAAAGATCAGAGTTTCGGTAACTGGTCTTAAATTACGCAATATGAAAGGAAACAAATCCCCTAAACCAGGGTTGTCTGAAATTCCTGAAACAAACGATTTCAACCGTTGGATTTTTTGTGATGGTGCCGGTGTCACATGGCAGATTAACCACAGCATGATCTGCACTGTCCCAACAATCCAACAAACCAAAAATCGCAACTTCAATAAAATCTAAACAACCCCTACGCCAAGGGATATGGATTCAGTCCATCAGAGTGTCCCGGTAGCTTGAACTAATAGGTCAACCTTCCCTTCCCTACATGCCATACCTAGTTATTCCATGAGGATTAACTTGGGCTAGATGAATGCCTTGGGTTCTCATATTGGCTTCACTCCAGATCAGAGGCGCCACCATTGAGTCCAAGCTCAGCATCCTCTTTTTAGCTCCACCTGGAGATCCTTCCAGAGTCAACCCTCCTAGGCTTTCAAGTGATGTCAAGCAGCTTTCAGTGGAACAGTCACCCCGCTGCTGCTGGAAACTAGGCTGTGCTTCCGGAACATTCACTCCAGTCGCCTCAGTTGATGGTAAGGAGCAAAAGCCCAGGGGATCAAGCATAGAAGATTTTGATGTTTTATTTCCCATGCCTTGAAATTTCTGGTTGTCCGTGTCTATTACCGTAGCACCAATAAATTGATCAGCTAACATCTTACAAGCTCTCTCAAGCATGGCCATATATTTTCTCTCGGCATCCTGGCGTATCTGCAAGTGCTTCTCTGCCTACAGCACAAGAATGCTTTAACGTAGTGAGCAGGACAAATTTATGAGATTTAAGAGCAAAGATACACTTGACAAAAAAACTGACACAGGTACAATGGATATGTACTGGATGGGAGGAAGAATATTAGGCGAGAGTCAGAAGAGCAAGCAACCGCTGGTAAATCCTAACCACCAATTGAGACTAATGATAACACAGTCACAAATGAATGATGATAATCTTCTTTGATTTTTGCATTCCAAGTTTTGTTACTTCTCTTAATTTTAAAGACATTTACCTCGACTAGCAAGTGCAGTTTGCTTTGCACTTCCATTTGTGCCCTTAATGCTTCCTTGACTTCGTGACCTCTAGAAATCACATAGAAACTTTGAGTAAATAATTATTCAAACTTTCAGGCAAACTTGATTTCACGAAAGCGTGAAAATCCTTACTCATTTGCATCAGAAGCTGGCAGCTTTGGAGCAGAGTCACCAGGGCTCTCTAAAAGATATGAAGCAGATATTCCTTCCACAATTTTTCAACAAATGAATTAAAGTTTATTCTGAGCATGACTATTTACAAAATACAGTTACTCAGCAACTACTACACTAATACGCTCAAATTCTAATTGCAAACTTAGCCTTGTATCCGACAGATGATGACTTCCGGATGCACCAAGAAAGAGACTCTAATCATGTATTCATGTTATAGCAGATAGAGGCAAGATTCTAAAAATTTATGTCAAAAAATTAGATGACTCTAGCATAACTGGAGACTGGAGAGAGATGCAAGAAAACCTACCATCTTTGCATCCCTCTCCACTATCTTTTCCTGATTGCTTGCCAAGTCTGTATTTCTGCAAAGCAGCAAAGAATAGTTTAAACACAAATAAAAAAAAAAAAGAATGTAAATTTCACTTTCACTTGAAATTATACAGTTTATACCATTACCAAAAGAATAATAGGGAATTATCACCCAAAAAAAAAGGAACAACAGGGAAACACACCTGAAGATGACTCTTTAAATGATAAAGAGTCAAACCTTTGACATTCATGGTCCTCATGATTGCTTTTGGTGTAGCTTCTGCAGATGACAATTTTGATAATAGAAGTTTTTATTGAAGACAGAAATACCCACACAAAAGGGAAAAAAAAAAAACGGAGAGAGAGAGAGAAATCTTTTTAACAAGCTACGCAGAAGAAAGCATGTATTGCAAAAGTGCCACATCAACAATAGAAATAAAAAGCTTCTTAATCCCTGTGAAAGTTTAACCAGCAAAGTCCCATGAAACAACAACTGTCAGCTGAGAGTGAGAATAGAGGTTTTTTTGTTGGGCCCCCGCACCCGGGGTGGGGCAGTTGGTTTTGTCACTTTGTCTCACAGAAAAAGACTGCTACTTGAAAATATAAGTCACACGTTCCAACCAAATGCACCGAATTGTTTCTGATGGAGCAAGCTCCTGTATGGCCTTTCTTATTCCTGCCAAATTTTATACTTAACAATGAAAACTTTTACGCGATCAAAGCAGGTTTAACCAAAAACTTTAGAAGGCCCGGTCTAAATATAATTGCCTGTCATATCCAGCAGCGGTTTCAGAACAGTACTAACATATAAAGCACCCATCATAAGGAAATTCTTTGTGCGGCATCTCAATCTATAAAAGATTACTGTTGAGCACTGGCATGCAAATTAAAGACATCATTTTTAAGCAGGCTCTGGATTTCCAATGGGGATTAACAAGAAGGAATTCATCTTTATTCACAGAATGGCTGCAAAATTAGACGGGTTTACTAGAACACATGCCAAAAAAATCCATAGTCGAAATCCTTTCATCTGAAGTGGAAAATTAATGAAACTAATCATACAAGACTTAAAGAGAAGTCCGAATAAAATATTGAAGCCCTGTAAACAGTAGAAAATCCAATGTGATGTAGTGTGATATGGAAATATTGAGCTTAATATTGGAGCTATGTGAACTGTAGAAAATCCAATGTCATGTGGTGTGATATGGAAATATTGAGCGTCTTCAGATACCATACACAATTAGTTAAAAATCTGCACTGACACAAGTCACACATGAAATAATCCAACAGATTTCATTTAATCAAACAATTGAAACGTAAATTTCAACTTACTAGGCATAAAATATGTCAAGCTTGATTTTATTATGAGACTTAACAACTAGACCAGGTTAAATATTCCGAGAGCAAGCTTAGTTGCCAATCTGTGATGAATTCATGCAAAAATTTCTTGTTTATTAGTGCTGAAGTGAATTAAAAAAGGGAGGAAAAATTCATCTCAACAAAGTTTGTAAATCCCTCGAAAAAGCCATTAAACCCTCATCTTCCACTTGAAAGAGTTTTAAGCCAAAATTCTTACATGATTTGAGATGTTTGTTTGCATGCCAACAAAGGCACAGGTATTCTACGTCTATGATCGGTGAAACAATAAATGTGAGGCAACAATACAATGCAATGCAAGAACTATGTAAAAGTATAGAACTTGGTAACCTTTCTCAGTGCATTAGATATCGCCTTACGTTACCCATCAATAATTCACTTCCAGACCTTAATCAGATAAAACAGGCTCCAACTGTTCCTACCTTTGAGCCGTCAAATAAAATTGCGGAGCAAGTCTCCACAGAGGTAATGTTCTTCACCTTCTCATAACCCTTTTAAGTAATTCTATTCGTCAGGGTGGAAGAAGTAACCGACATTTTCAACACAAGCATGCTAACGAAGACTTATTGGTATTACTAACTAGAAAAACTTAAAAGAAACAGCAAAGTATTTCAACTCCAAATATTCCAGCCAAAGCTAATGAGAATAAGTAATTCCACTTATTTCAATGGAGTTTATACGAGATACCAAAAACCCCATCTTTCCTAGCTCCCAGAAGCTAAGTGATCACTAACAAATGACGATCAAGATTCCTAAAAAATCCCCACGTTATAGATAGCAAATTGCCCAAACCACTGCTCAATCTTTTCTATCCATGAAATTGGTGCATCACGGCCAAGATAAAGCTTGCATAAATGGAATAAGATTATAATGAAAAAGGCAAAAAGGTTAAGGAACAAATTACTTACTACTGGCACCTCCAAGCTGAGTGACGGCATCAACAAATCGCTCGTGAAGGTCCGCAGTCCAACGAAGTCGAGGTTTGGGATCAGCAGTCAGGACAAGACATGGGTCTCCAAGGTGACTGTGGTTCAATCCACCCTGCATATTTTCTTGACCAAATGTCCCTTCGTGAGGATGTATTAGTCTCGAAAACATAATACTCTTCCTCCTACTCCTTCTATGGAGACAGTCCCGGACACTGATGAATCAGAAAATAAATCGAAGGAGCAGATCCAGAATCATCCCCATTACCTGGAACGGAACGAAACAGAAGAGGAGAGAGAGTGAGGGTAAAATGAGCAAATGGGGTGAGTGAAAAGAGTAGCGTCAGAAAGATTTTGACGCGAGGGAGGGAATGGCAGAGTGAAAATGATGAGAAAGGCAAAGCAAGTGAATGGAGCTGGCAATGTCACGCTTTTCTGAGATTTTGTCCCTTTCTGCCGTATTTGTGAAAAAGAAAATTTTTTAACAAAATAAAAAAAATCAGTGATGCAGTCATACAGTCGATTATTGCCATCCTCTCACTCATCCTTTTGCCGCTCTATTTCGTGTATCCACTTTCCACCATCGGTCGTTTTCTGAGGGGTGACAAGTAATGCCTGCATATCAGAGTTCTATTTATTCTTAATTCAATTGATGAAATAAAGTAAACTGTACTATTATTAAAACAATGTTGATTGATTGAGAAAACAAATGGCTCACTTATTAAAAAAGTATTAATTTTAATATTTCTAATTTAACGGAAATTAATATCAAGTTTAAGATGACTAGATATACAGTAGATGTGGAAAACGGGTTGACGGTACGAGCCTAAAACGGTGCGAGTTGAAGTAACTCGTACCTTGGCAGCCCGCCTTAATTTTTTTTAATTTTTTAATAAAAAACTATTACTATTATATGTATTGAGTTTAGTTTGAAATGTTAAAATTGGGTTTGAAATCTTAAATTTGAGTAATGAGATATAATAAAATAATATGAAGATTAATTTATAATTTAAGAAGATATTTTTAAAAAAATAATACATATTTTTTTAAAAATAATTAATTTAATTAGTTTTCTTATCCAAATTAATTAAGCAGATATTTTATGTATATATATAAGCATCACATGTTTATTTAATCTTATAAAGGCTTGCATAGTAACACAACAAATAAATGAAAAATAAAAGATGGACAGTGTTTTTTATATAACTACAGTCACAAATATATAAAATGCTTAATTACATATGTAATAATATGAATAAGAAAATGTTCAATTGTTCATGTAGAATTTGAGAAACAAAATATTTTAATTATATTGTATAATATATTAGGAATTATATGAAGGGGAAAAAAAAAGCGGGCCAGCTCGCGAGTAAGTGCGAGCTAAAGTAGACTGCACCTTGGAGGGTTGGTATTTTGCCAACCCGAGCCTGCTTTCGTATTATCGGCTCTAAATATACTCCAAGTTATTTAAAAAAAACCTAAAATATATTATTTATGTAGTAGTATAATGATTTTTATATATTTTCTTACCATTCAATGAGGATTTGACTATTCTCACTCAATAAAAAATAGTGCAATATGTTTTTAACATAAAAATATTTTTGTGTTAATTAAAGCATTTATTGCCTTTTTTATTTATTTGTTGTTATTGAAAAGCGAAAAAAACTGAAAAAAATTAGTTAAAAGTAACTGTTTGAAAATATCATTGGTTGAATGGACTTTGAATTTCAGTAGATACAACTTGTTTTTAGTAGCAGCAAATTTTCTTCACTTATATGTAATTTATCTTTTGCTATGTATAAATAATTTTTATTTTAAAAACTTTTCTATATCATTATAATTGAATAAAAATTACAGTTATTAAAAATAAATTACACTAGGTCCCTTTATTCAAAAAAAAGTTCAAACATATACTTTTAATGATATTTCTGAAAGGAATATTCTTTTCTATTTCCCATACAAGAATTACTAGGAGAGAAAAATCTGGCAAAAAGAGAGATTAAGAATATTGCTAGAATTTTTTTTATTTGTACATATATATTTAAAATTTGTAATTAACTTAATCTACTTTTAATTGAAAAAGTTGGTATTTATTTCTTATGGAAAGAAAGGAAGGGAATTCTAGGTACACCAAAACTTATAAATTGTGTGTGAGGGTTAAATACTACCTCCGCTGCTTAATGTAAGGTTTTGTTTAATTTTTATTTTGATCATAAATATAAGACTTTAATTCACTTTGTTTATCATATTTATATATTTTTTTTTCAAGATAGTCATTATAATAATAGTAGTTCTAACTAATATACTTGATTAGTAAAAATATTTTAGAAAAAACAACACCTATTTATTACAAATAACTAACTTAACTTATTTTCTTAATCTTCTCAAATTAGTCAACTAGTGCTTATAATTAGGACCAGAGATAGTATATAATTATCGAATTAATGGATATTGATGATAGGTATATTAATACGTTGTTCAAAACACAAACCTTCTGTTTGGATGGGAAAAAAAGTTGAGAAGAAAGAAAATGAGAGAAGAAAAAATGAAGAAAAAAAATTAGAGAGAAAATATTATCACTTCTCATGTTTAGATGGACAAGAGAAAACAGAAAGAAAAAAAATGAGTAAATATGTGAATGACTAAAATACCCTTTTTGTTATATCAAAATATATCTTAATTAAAATCAAATTAAATATCATAATGAAAAATCATATTTACATTAACATAATCATATAATTTAAAATCAAATTATTTGATAAAGATATATTATCATGTTATTATATCTTAATATCAAATAATTTTGTAAAAAAAGAAAAAAAACATTTTTTGTAATGTAATGCTAAAAAAAAAAAAACAACGATTCTACTTGTTTTTCATTTCAGTTTATTTTAGAAATATTTTTATAATTTTAATTATTTTATTTTTCAATAAAACAAACATAGAAGAAAGACTGGATAATAATAAATAAAGTGAAAAAATGAACAAAAAATAGATATTATTTTGCTGAAAAAACATATGTAAGGATAGAGAGAAAAAATATGTTTTCTTCTCATTTTCTCTTCATATATGAAGAGAAAAGTTGAGAAAAAAATAGGACGTGAGACTCACATCATTTTCTTTCCAACTTTTCTTTCTTCCTACTTTTGTTACCTCATTCAAATAGGAAAAAAAAACCACTTCTTCCCTTATTTTCCTTCCTCTTTTATTTTCTCTCCATCCAAACATAGCAAAAATGATGGATATTAACACTGATTATTTGTTAAAAAAACATATTAAGATAAAATATAAAATTATAACAAAAATTATACTACCTGCAAACTTGATTCCAAATCACCCACCAGATTCCATGGTCATTCTTCTTCCTCGTTTCTATATTGCACAGTGTATCCCTCTTCCTCTTATGTCGGTCAACCACAAGATTCAAGTACCCCACTCTAAACCTTCATTGACTCTAACAGAGTAATCTTCTTTGACCCCGGTAGCTCCCTGTCAGGGAGCATAATCATGTTCGTCCTCAGCGGAATCATTCCATTCAAATGCCAGAAACTTGAAAAGGAGCGATTCAAGGAACCAAATGGGAAAGAGTACTGCAACACGTTGAAATCCTTGCTGGGTTTTGCCGTCTTTCACTGTCGTTGTGGATGGTCGGATCTGGTTCAGAGGAAGGAGGAAGAACGTTGCTTCGGCAAAGACGTCGCAGGCAGGGGGTGAAGGGGATTAGAAGATAGGAGGGGGAGATGAGAATGATGGGATGAGAAGCAATTTGGTCTGAAAGTTCAATCCCAAGACTGATTTCCTAATATAAGGGGGAGTGGTGGCACGGAGCAATCCCATAAAAGGTGGTATGGATCAATCCCAGGACTGTCGCAGTTTTCATACCAAACATGATAAAAATAAGCATCCCATTACCAACACCAGTGCCAACCCCTCCAGTATGTCGTAACAAATAGGACCTAAATATTTGAGCTTACATTTAAATTATTTTATTTTAATCAAGTTATGATACTGACATTTTTTAAGGAATCTCTTTTAAATTTGAAAGTCTTTGTTTTTAATAAGAAAAGACATTAAATGTAAAAAGTATAACCTTGCTTCTTGAATTTTATACAAAATTTCATTTTAATCCCTTAATTTTATAAAATGATTTTTCAATCCCTAAACCCTAACACTATTAGTTTCATTAGTAAAAAAATGTCAATATTAAAATTTAAAATGTTGAAAAATCATTCTAAAATGCTAAAATTAGATAACAAAGACACACTTCTGCTTTAAATAGATAAATTAGAGTACAGACAGTGCTGAAAACAGGTATCAAATATTATGAAAATCAAATCAAACAAAAACCAAGACTTTAGTTTTCATCCCAATTAACTAGTAGCACTAATTATGAATGTCACTAGACCAACCAAATTAATTGTTGAAACCTTGTATTGTGCGAGTTATGAATGTTTTGAATTTCTAAAGAATTGTCCCGTTCCATTTGCCATAATGGCCTCAGGACCAAAATGAATCAATTGAGAGACCAGAGGGGATAGGCAAATGATGTATCCTTTTCCTGGTCAAGGGATAAACTTTCATTGAGGTACTAAGAACCGTAGAAGTTTAGATTCAGTAATCAGTAACCAAAAAGGCAGATATCTGTCAGCTACTCCAGTACATCTTATGCATAATGTGTTCTCCATTTCATCATCAAGAGATAATCGCAGCAGAACAAGCTTCAGTTTGTATTCTTTCTTTTCAAGTGTCAAGAATGGGGTCCAAACAAGAAAGCTATAAGAAGCAAAGAACTTAATATCGCGGGATTGAACTTCACTTTGCTTTTCATCTATAAACTACTAATTGTTAAACAGACAACAGACTTGCTGAACACTAAAAGTAAAAACAGACAACCACCTATAATTCAGTCAGCTCTGCGCAGCTTCACATTCCTTGGAATTTCCTTGTAGCTCTGAACCTTTTCAACAGCTCGACGCAGTGGCCTCCCAACAGATGATCTTCGAACTTCCTGAGGTTCAAACTTAATGGAATGATTTTCTTTCATTTGTTGTCCAGAATCCACACATGAGGTTGATGGACTGCTTCTCTTTATTACACTATCGTGTAAAGGAACAGCAAAGTTTGGATCATCAATCTCAAACAAGTCTTCAGTTGGTTTAGGATCTTCAGGCTTTAACCTGGCAGATTGCCTTCTCATAATTCTGCAAGGTCAGCAGGTGTTCATTATAAATCCGATCGTTCCTCAAATTACAAACTCAAACATTTCAAATCAAGCATATACAAGCAATCAAGCATGCCTCTTATCAACATTCTCCTTTCTGTCAACTTGCTCAACAGTAGGAAGCCCTGAAACTGCATGAGTAAACAAGTTTTTAAAAAGAATAAATAAACTTGGCAACCTCTGAAAGTAAAAATTTGACATATGCTAGAAACAATTACATTTAGTGTCTTCTCTGGTTTCTTCAGTTGATTCTGATATTTCAGTCCTAAACCTAGCAGATTGCCTTCTCAAACTTTGCCTTCCAATAATTCATGAAAAGCACGTAAATGGTTATTAATTCTCCCATTAATCATAAATCCCAATTACAGACGCTCAAATAAGATATATACAAGCATACCTTCTGTTTTCGATATTCCCTAAGGGAATTTGCACAATGGAAGAAGGTCCTGCATCTGCGTGAAGTAACATATGAGAAAAAGCTTGGTAATCTGAGAATATAACAAGACGATACATTGTGTTGTACAATTACATTCAGTGTCTACTCTGGTTTCTTCTTTAGCTGTTGTTCCCAATGCTGTTGGTCCCTTTCTTTTTACCAGATTTTCTTGCAGATGAGATACACATGGTTTGGTGTCATCAATCTCTAAGGAATCTTCTGTGACCCCTGGCTTTTCATATTTGAACCCCATAGACTGCGTCCTCAAACAGTGCCTATTTATATATTCATGGAGAGATATAAGTAGCCTCTTCAAGCATGTCAATTGTCAAACTTCAAGCATTATCCCAGTATATCAGGCAATTATGAAACTCGTACCTTTGGTTGTCGACCTTCTCTTTGGGGTTAGCTTGTTTAATAACAGCAGATCCAGAAGCTGCATCATATCAGTCACGTGTTTACGATATACATACATATATTAGGTTTAGCAGTTGTATAAATACAGTGGATCAGTTACAGTAACTACATTGAGATTTAGAGACTTTTCTCCTTTTGGCATCGGAAAGAATATCCTCTCTTCCATCTGCTTTAAAAGTTTGACCCGATAGCTGACTCTGAGATGTTCAGACCAGAAGGTAGAGAAAAAAGGACATAAATATTGCAGGCAGCAAATAGTAAAGACCAATTACCATAGCTAAACAAAAAGAAACTATTTAAAGCACCTCATTTGCAGTGATTTTATCTTTCAATTTTGATGTCTGCTTTTTTTCCTAGGAGGGAACGGAAAAAGTAACAGTTAAAAAACAGTCAATCATTTTGACTCCCGCACTAGCACCTATTAACATGAGTTAAACTGACCTTTGGTTCTAATTTCGCAGCTTTGAGTATGCCATTTTTGCATCCTAGTTCAAGCTGGAGTTCCCTCAGCTGAATGGCAAAAAACAGTGTAGCTCAACAACAACTACACAAATAAAAGGCAACATAAAAGCGTTAAGCTGTTATATGTAGCAACTGCATCCGAAAGGTTAACTCACCCTCTGTCTACTAGAATTAAGTTCCTGCATAAATCATACAAAAGAAATTAGCGAGGTTACATATTCAATTCCAAACCTTTTCAAGCTATATAGCATCATACTAGGCGGCTAGAGTAATATACTCAGTAATTAGAACGTTTAAACAGTACCACCAACATCTGGCTATTTGCCCGAGCAAGATCCACATTTTGCATGCTCAGTTTCTGAAAATTGCCTTGCAATTTCTGTAGCTCTGCTTTACTTGATTCTATAATAGCACTATCAACCACAGTTCAGGAACGCCCAATAAAGTACAGCCAGCTTAACAACAATAAATACCATCAGATAAAAGATAGATTAAATTTACAGAGGATACTTTCTGCTTGCCAGAAGCTTCATCAGCATCGCATTTTCCTGCAAAATATGTGTATGATAGTCCATACCTTAAGTGTCAAACCAATGACAGAAAGGAAAAAACTTAGGTCATGTTCTCCGGTCACACATGGCTATATGTCTTTTTTTTGTGTCATATGTGTTTATAATTAAATGCCATTAAATGCTAACATTTTAAAAACACATGGTTACGTGTAATTAAAGAACTTGACATAATGAATATAAAAAACGTGACGCAAGTATTGTCCCTACAGAAATAGAAGGAAATCTTGAAATGCCACACTTACAAGAAATATACCTTCAGAAGTTGGTCAGTAGATTCGTCAACTCCTAGGGTAGCAGATTGCTTCTTGGCAGGTTGGTTTGATGGCTTTAGGTGCTCCTGCTGCAAATTTGTTATGTCAGTCAGCATTTTCTTCGTTGGGCCCCCAACGAAATTTCCCCTTGCCACTTTTACTTTCTGTGTTTTGTTGCCTGCAAACCATTTCATGTTATTCCAGGAACACATATTCAGCAATGCAACACCCCAAAACCCCTATTGCACTTTCAGCCAAGAAAGAAAACACCCAGCAGCCGCAAATTGAAAATAGAATTTTGGATCTTCAGCTATCTGGTGGCTCGCCTTAGTAAAATTATCAGCTTTACAATCTCAAAAGAACGCAGATATTGACTTTCCTAGGACAGCACCTAATGCATATTTCAGAACCCGCAACGGCAAAGCTTATATAAACTATAAACTAACAATCGATAACCCACAGAAAATCCTAATAGAAGTTAAAAATGATCTTGTCAAAATATAACAGGTAACTCGGACACATCTACTAAGAAACTAAAACGGAGAGCATTAAAAACCTATGCCCACGAGAAAGAAGGTTACAATTTAAGTGAGAAACAAAAATTTAAAAAAAGGGGAATGTCGTTAGGGCAAAGCTGTACCACCGCTGCCACACGGCTCCGAATCAACTAAGATGCTTCCTTCCATTGTGAACGACGTGCACCTAGTAACACTGATTCATCAGCTCAGCTCCTCATTCTCTAATCAACGGAGGGAAACTGAAGCGAGGGAATGGGAAATTGGGAATAGTGGAATTGATTGCACGGAAGAAACAACGTCTTTCCGAAGCGACGTCCGAACCTCTTTTGAATTCTGTTAATTTTGCTCTGAGCCTATGGTTCTTACCTGACCAGAGCTTTCCTTTTGTATTTTTTCGTCATGTAAATTTATTTAGACGGGGAAAAAAACATTATTCGCTTTCTTTTCCAACAAAACCATTAATCAAATTAGGACATGCACATTTTGTAACTCCTAAATTACGATTGCCATTGATATGAAATTTAGTAAATAGGACAAAATCCGATTACCGAATTATAAATTATTTCACATTTCATCACAAAAACTACTTTGTCCTCAGAATATTTTATTATTCTATTATTTATGATAATATACTAACAATACGAATACAAATGAAAGAATGAAAATGAGTTCTTTTTTTTGTTGTTGACCAGAATAAAACTGAGTTCAATTCCCTGGCCAGAAATTGTTTTTTATTTTTATTTATAATAAGATAAAAACGTTTGACCCTAAATATTTTAAGTATTTATTCTTTTCACAAATTTTGACGCATCAATTTTTTGGTTAATAATTCTACTTTATTTATTTATTTGGTTAAAAGAGAAGGCCCACCACTTACCAAGAAAGAAAAAACAGAGAAGGCCCATCCGTTAGTCACCAAGTGCCCGTTTGGATGAGCGATTGGAAAAGCTGCTTATTGAAAAAGCAGCTTATGGATAAGTGAAGTGGGATAAAAGCTAAATTAGATAAGTTGAATTGTGTTTGGATTGGAATTCAGAAAAGCCCGTTTGCAAAAGTGAGATTGGTAAAAAGTTGTTTGGATTATGGTTGAGTAAAAGTAAGTTTGGTTGTAAAATGACCAAAATAGGCATGAGTTTTAATAAATAATAAAAAATAAAAAAAATAATTTGACATAATACAATGGAATTAAAATAATTTAATATGAATAAGTGAATTAAATTTTAAAATTTTCGAGAAATGAAAAAAATTATTTTAAATATAAAGTGAAAGAAGAAAAAAATTGAATTGAGATAATATAATAAAGAAGTAAAATTTAATGAGTGAATTAGAATTAAGAACTTTAGAGAAATCATAAAAAATATGTAAGAAATGAAGTGCAACATGATAAAAAAAAATTAACATAATACAATAAATTTAAATTAATTTAATACGAAGAAGTGAAATTGATTGAGTGAATTAAATTTGAAAGCCTTAGAGAAATAAAAAAAAAGATTGTTAATATAAAACTAAACATAATTTAAATGGATAACAAAGTTTTCAACTCCAATTGACAAAGTAAAACAAAATAATATTACATAATTAATTAATTGATAAACTATGAATAATTTGGTCTCTGATTGCATCACGAACATGATTCATATGCGATGAAGATTGTGATGTAACATTTGAAAGCGATGGTTGACTAGCTTCAGCCTGATCATGTTCGACCACTATATTATCATTTTCAGCTTGTTTAAAAAAGAAGTCGGAGCTTGAATGTCTCCTTATAAGGTTATGAATGGCCATTGTTGCACAAACCAGGTACACTTGTGTTTGGAAGTCGTAACTACGCATGTTTCCTAAGATGTGAAATCTATTCTTCCAAACACCGAAGGTTCTTTCTATTGTGCACCTTAAACTGGAATGATAATAATTGAAGGCTTCGTTACTATTTTGGAATCCTACTTGTCGTCGGAAGTTCGGAAGGTGGTAGCGCTCAGATCTGTATGGACCTAGATATCCATTTGGTGTTGGATATCCCGCATCAATCAAGTAATATTTCCCTAATGATTCATGAAACAATTAGAGAGATTGTAAAATGAAAAAAAAATGAAATAATTAAAAAAACATGCGTGATTGAAACTTATAAACATATACCTGGAGGTGGATGAGGGAAATTAAGAGATGAATTTGTAATAGCACTGTCAAATATACGAGCATCATGTGCAGATCCCTCCCATCCCGCCAAGATAAAAGTGAAACACATATCTCAATCACATACAGCCATGACATTTTGTGATGGATTTCCCTTTTTGCCAATAAATTTGTCTCGTTTTGCAGCAGGGACAACACACTGTATATGAGTACCATCAATTGCTCTGATTGCATCCTTGAAAAATGGATAATAACGTGGATCGGTCTCAATTTTTCTATGAGTTCCACAAAATGTAGGATCTATGGGCCGAATAAGTTCACTCAATAGGCTAAGGCAAGCTTGCAGTACATTATGAAAGTGCCTACTTACAGTTTCCCCTAAACGTTGAAACCGTTCCTAGATCATCCTATTGCATTGTCCATGTGCAACCGTGTTTAAAAACATCGCGACCATTTCTTCAATTCCTACGTATTTAGACTTTCGTAAACCGTGTTCCTCCAATTTGGTACATAAGAGGTGGAAAACATGTTTGTCCACTCTAAACATTTCAGAACATCGATCATCATGGCCATTCATAATGCCTTGTACCCATAAATTTCCTGTATGCTCACTAGTTCTGCAGGGTTGTTTACACATATACATTTCACAGTAATGACCAACCAATGCACCTACTGTTCATATTGTGTTAATTCCTCATTAATCATGGATAACTGTCTTGAATGGTCATCTTCATTCCACTGTGAAGATTCATTCCAATCCCTCAAAGCATCTTCATTCCATGGTGAATCATCATTCCAAGAAGCCATTTCTGGAGTTAACCCTGTAACTATGATGACAACAAAGTGTAAGCATTATAAGGATTACTCTAAACAATGTGTAAATAATTTTCATACTGCAAGCAGAAAAACCAAACACATAGATGATAAGTAGAAATTAGCGTAAATATATTACATAATCATTAATAAGATTTCTATAACAGGTGACATAAGTTTAGGTTCAAACAGCAATTAGTTCACGTTAACAAGTGCAGTAACAACAGTGAAACAACAAAGTCCTAAACTAAATCCTAATCTACAAGTCCCTTCCATGTGTCTGGGTCTAGTGCTGCCGGTATCAACCACTCCAACAACTTGTGTCTATCATGCATAAACCCCAAATAGGCTCGCCTAGCCCACCTCAACCGCATAAGCATCTTCGCACATACATAATATAGTTGAGAGTCACCATTAAGCTCCTCAAGGCTAGCCAGGTGTCCCCAAATCTTCTCAACTTGTTGGGGATCTTCAACCAATGCTGATGCTCGCTTTTTAGAAGCAGCTGCTATAACACTCAGGCTATCAGAAATTTTTGTAGTCGCAGAAACTTTTTTCTTCTTCTTCGCATCAGACGTCTCACCCCTCTTCCTCTTTCCATAGCTTCCTAAGTCACTTGGTTCAGTACTCGAAAGGTTGTTTAAGTTGCAACCAGCAAAATCATTTGAGACCCCTACGATGGCTGTTGGGTCAACACCGAAATTTTCATCCTCACTGTCCCTCGACCCTTCCTGTTGGTCGAGCCCGATTCTATAAACATCCTCCTCTTCTGTGTCAGGTTGTGGAGCAAATGCTGGCTAAGGTTGTGAGGCTGATGGTGCATACATAAACTCTCCCGAAGCCACAACATCTTTGAATATCTTCATTAGGTCTGATGCAAACATCAACCCCTGATGTCTAAATTTCTTAAAACGGGGATCCACCTACATTAACGTAATTAGGCAAGTGTTAGCGATGACTAAACTGATATTTAAAATTAAAACTCAACCAACACAAATAGTTACCATTAATTTCCGCTACCATCACTCATCGGAGGCCAACACCCTATTTGTCGCTGCATCATAACCAATGCCAGTCTCCCCAGACACAAGTTTCTCCCACAACTTCCAATCCTTTCTCAAAATGTCAAATCCATTCTTAAGTTGCTTCCTGTCATACATTTTCCCACTCCTTTCCTGAAAACTCTTTGTAATTTTGTTCCAACCCGGCCTCGTAAATGATGTTCCTTAGCGTTCCTTGTGCACAATTTGCTTGACACAAACATCGATTAGGATTTTCGTCGTATACAGATCCCAACTCACTTTTTCTTTATCGTTATCCATTTCTAGGTGGAAAATAATATAGATAAGACTAACAGAAGCAAACAAAGCACCAAAAATTTTCAAATTTAAGCTACATTATGTAAGAAATAAGTTCTACCCCGATAAAAATATGTTATTTATATATTCTTCTCACCTAAAATTAAGAAGAAATCCCAAGACATTAGACTATTTATTCATCGCTTTGAAAACTTTGTCTAGGTAACAAAAGGCCTCACTTAGACCACGTCAGCCCATTGACCCAACTAGCCTGTAGCCACACCCACCCATCCTCCAAATTGAGGCACGTATCCCTCCACCACTTCCCTTTTTTCTCCTTCTCCCTCTCATTATTTAATGTCTTCATTTATTTCTTCTCTCCCTTCCCTTTATTATCAAAACACCATTCCTCCATCTTACTGCTTTTTTCTTCAAAAAATTCTCTTTTCTTATGTTGACCTAAATACTCATCTGATCTTTTGGTAAAAAGTTAGTTAAAAGGTTAGTCTTGATCTTGAAAATAAAATCTTCATAAATTTAATCTGTAATATTTTTTTTATTCTTTTTCTCAAACTTTTGAAGCCTTAAATGAATGCAGAGGGCTCAGATTGCACTAGGGGACTATTTTCTTTTCTTTTCTGTTGGGTTCGTAACAACAATTTCCATTCCACTGAACGTCGAATGTTTTATAACATTGGCCCCGAAAAAAGCAATAATTTGAATAACTAATAATACTCATGAAAATAGTAATGACATTTTGAAAATACTGCTTCTTTCAAATTACATCCACACTTTATTGCAATCATTAATTTTACTAAACAACAAAATTTAAAAAATCACACTTTTTTCTGGATAACTATCAAGAATATACTACTAGTTAGGTTTGCCAGTGGCCAGAGGGCATAAGCATAAGTTAAGCATTGTTTGGCCTAAAACTCAGATCTAAAAATCAAGAAACGTCATTAAGCATTGATCACAAAAATTAGATGAAATACACTGAAACACAGCACAAAACCAGGCCAAAAAAGAAAACAATACGACAGCATGGTGGTTCGATTTTAGTCAATCTATCAGCTCACAACAGATCAACACACACACAACTCCACATGCTTTGATTAATAGTGTATCACTCCTACATTCACCGAAAACCAACACAAAAATATGGGAATCGACCAACCTGGCACAGATCAGACCAATCAAAGTTTGGCAGAGGTAGATCGGACACTCTGTTTGAATAGGAGGCTAAGATCTTCGACGCACACCTGAGATGGACCAGCTGATGGCGGCGACCTGGGTTGGAGACACTGATAGCAGCTCCGACAGGGTGGAGTTGTGATGAACGACCAGCCTCTCGGTCACTCAAAGCATCACCTAAGTTGCTTCCTGCCACGGAGGAGACGTGACGGAGCTCACGGCAACCAAGTCTCGGTGGTTCTGGTGACGATGCGATGGAGGATGAGGGGAGGCAGCTCCCGTGAAGGACCAGGCTCTCGGTCACTCGAAGCCACACCCAACACGATGACCTCACAGAGGAGACACGACGGAGCTCACGGCAACTCTCGGTGGTTCTGGCGAGGACGCGACGGAGGAGGCAAGATGAGGGCTCACGGGTCGCGGAGAATGGATAGCAAACGTGAAAGAAAAAAGGAAAGAAGACTTCAGGAAGAAAAAAGAAATAAGGGACTTCAGGAAGAAATGAGGATTGGCCGACAGGTATCTCAACGGTAAAAAAAAAAAAGCCATTACACTGATCCAATAAGCCATAAAAGATAGCTTGGGCCAGAACGTGCGTTTATCAGCTTAAATCCCATAAGCTACTTTTTTTTTAAGCCCAACCAAACAGGATCATTTGACCAATCGGGCTTACACTGCTTTTAAACTCCTTTTAAGCTCTCTAAAAGCCCTAGCAAACGAATCCTAAGAAAATAGTGTGAATTAAGACTTTAGTATCTGATGATTGCCAACTAACTTATGTTGCTTGGTTGTTATGGCTAATTTGGAAAGAGAGGAATGCTGCCATATTTGAAGGTCGAGTGCAAAATCCCATTAAAGTAATATCTGACGCTGCCAGAGCAGTGAGGGAATTTTGGGACTGAGGAGAGAGTGGAAAAAGTTGGTGGGCTTGCTAAGTGGATGTGCCTAGCAGAAGGGAGATTGAAAGTCCACTATGATGGGTCTTATGAAGGTGAAACTGATGCTATTGCTATTGGAATTGTGAGTAGGGATAAGGAAGGTGTGTTTCAATGGGGATTCGGCGGCAAAATTAAGGCACAGTTAGGTTGTTGCTGCTGAAATTCTGGCGTTGCTGAAGGCTGTTATATTGGCAAAAGATTTGGAATTGACCAATATGACCTTTGAAGTGGATTATGCTGAGGTTTGTTGGTGCTGCAAAAAGAATTCTATTGATGATGTGGATTTGAAGGCTAAGTGGCAGATGCAGACTGTCTTGGTGGCTTTAGCAGAGTTTGATGGAGCGGATATTACCCTTAAATCTAGAGAGGGGCGTACTGAGACAACAAATTGGATTGCTGTTGAGTGTAGAAAAGGGGTGTGCCCTATAAGGTAGGTTGAGAAGCCAGCACCTGCTTTGCTTTCTATTCTGGTTGATGATGCTAGAGCCAGTGAGAGGTTTAGAGGGAGAGATGGTTCTGATGTAGTTTTTAATGGAAATGGTATTGACTACTAAAGCTTTTTCTTTTTCTCTTCATTTTATTTACGATTCTTTTTTTGTTTTGTCTTTGTGTATCTGTGAAAGATCTAATTGTTAGGTTGTATGAATAGGTTTTTCAATTTTTTTTTTTTTAACTTCGGTTATTGGTGGTTTTTGAATTAATAAAGTTGACTTAATTGTTAAAAGAAAAAAAATTAAGATTTAATTTGAATATGTGAAAACTAGTATTGAATAAGTCTTTCATCAATAATCAATAACTTACATTATAAAATGAAAGTTTTTCTATGAATAATAAGAAGTCTTGGATTATTTTACTGATAATCTCATGTCATTAGTGTTTACTTTTCTCAAAACATAACATGATGCAAATGGGAAGGGGTAAAATGAATGAGACCTTGATATGGTAGTACTGGATCCACAACATTGTTGGTGAAATCTTGGAAACAATCACAGCCATTAACCAAAGCTCGGTCGACTTGGATCATTGGCGCGGCAATCTACCAAACTGAGTTTTAAAATGATGGTCTATTATGATCATCTCGTTTTGTTAGCCTTCTTTGCTTGAGGAGGACTACTGAAGAAGGAAGCTTTCCAGGAGGGGCGCCTCCATTTTTTCACTCCTGCTGCAAGAAATCATCAACTCAAAAGGCCACAATCTTCATTATTAATCAGTATCTAATTCTCATTCTTTTTCTTTCCCCCCCCAAAGGGTGATTTCCTATAAAAAAAAGCTTTTCCACTCAAACAACTAGGAAGCTTCCCGCAATCAAAGAATCTCCACCTGCTTAACCATAAAACTAGATGACCACAAAGTTAATTTTCATGCACCAAAAAAGTATCCTCGTTCTCACTATTGCTTCTGATAGCCCCCTCCCTTTTCTCTCCCAACTCTTTATCCGCAGAAGACACGCAATATATTGAATATATATTTTATACAATACTCTGTCAGATTCAAACATGTACAGACGTATATATGATTAGTTTTGTTTTCCAAATATTCCAAAATATATGCGCCCCCAATGTATGTAGTGTATTACATGTAGCAGTTAGCTCGTTCAAGGCTGATGGCAAGTACGGTTAGCAAGCAAGGTAAGGAATGTGAGTCTCCAATGATAATAGCTTGCTTCTTCTTCAAATAAACAAAACCCCCCTCCCTCAATCATCTGCTCCAAACTACACATCACTGTTCTCATTATTAAAATGTCGGTTTATATAAAACCCCCCATCACAATTCCCCAGAATTCAACAGAAAAACCAGACATGAACAGTATGGCTTGACCCCCCTGGTTGTGCCTTGAAAATATGATGATTCCCATTAGCTGCTGCGTCATTCTCTCAGTATGGCTCCTCAGCCTCCCTTTCTCTCTGCCTACTACCATCAGGGCTGCCTTCAACCCTGAACATGTGGTTATGGATGTTCAAAGGTGAGAGCGAGGGCCGCGCGTCCCGTGGCTTTCACTGCTTGTATAATTGTTAATATTTGCATTATTCTTTCGTGTTTTCTCATTTGCATATTGCTTCCTGGAGTTATGCTTCCTGCAGACTCTCCCACCCAATCCATTTTCTTTCTTCCCTAATTGATTTCCATTTCATGCCCATGCTTCCCGGTTAGGACACGGAAAACTTTTCTTGTGTTCGTCAATCTTCATTTTCATTTCATTCTTAAAATCTCATATCTTTCTTCACTATGCACATGTCCATTAGGTTTCTGTTAGATTAGAGCAACTTTTGATTGTTATAAAAAAAAAAAAAAAGGACAGAAAACTCATAAAATATTGATCACTGATAAAACGGATGGCAGAAACGAAAAGTCGATTGGCGAGTCTTTCGCTTATGATTTTGTTATCTGTTTTCATAAGGACCAGAGACCAGACACATCAAACCTATACATGGCATTTCTTTTCGTATTAAAATCTCTGACTCTGAAGCCTTTTATGTTAAAGAAGAAAATAAAAGCACATTAAGAAAAACTAAGAAAATAAAATCCAAAATCCGACAAGGACATGGTTCAAAACTTACACCTTCATGCACACAATAAAATCCATGCACTGGATTGCCGTTTCATATGGGACGTTTCATTATTCAGCATTTTGCATGAAAACAGCATAACCCGAACAGAATTACCTTCTCTGCCTCCACGTTGATTTTCCCGACATCCAAACAAAAGCAGAGCAGCTGTGTTTTGCCGTCATCTTAGCCTCCCCTTCTTTTTCCCCTCACTTGCAGGAGAATCAACGCGTCTCTCTCCAGAAGACAGCTCCTCTCCGTTGACAAATCCGACCAAACTCCAGGCTGCCTCACCGGCAACCCTATCGACGACTGCTGGCGGTGCAACCCCAACTGGGCCACCGACCGCCAGAAGCTGGCCGACTGTGGTATTGGGTTCGGCACCGATGCTGCCGGCGGCAAGGGCGGCCAGTTCTACATCGTCACTGACCCTTCCGACAACGACCCGGTGAACCCAGCTCCGGGAACTCTTCGGCACGCCGTAATCCAAGATGTGCCCCTCTGGATCGTCTTCGCTGGCAACATGATGATCACCCTGAAGCACGAGCTCATGTTCAACAGCTTCAAGACCATCGACGGACGTGGAGCCAGCGTCCACATCACCGGCGACGGCTGCATCACCCTGCAGTACGTCTCCAACATCATCATTCACAACGTGCACATCCACCACTGCAGGCCGTCGAGCAAGACAATGATACGGGCTAGTCCAACAAAGGTAGGATTGAGAGGGGGATCGGACGGCGACGGGGTGTCCATCTATGGGTCACAGAAGATTTGGATAGACCATTGCAGGCTGGCGTACTGCACGGACGGCCTAATAGATGCGATAATGGGGTCGACGGGGATAACGATATCGAACAACCATTTCTCGCATCACGACGAGGTGATGCTGCTGGGGCACGATGATAGGTATGAAGGGGATAGGATGATGCAGGTGACAGTAGCATTCAATCATTTCGGGGAGAAGCTGGTGCAGCGGATGCCACGGTGCAGACACGGGTACGTGCACGTGGTGAACAACGATTACACGCAGTGGGAGATGTACGCGATCGGCGGCAGTGCGGCGCCCACCATAAACAGCCAGGGCAACCGCTACACTGCTCCCGCCAATGCTAATGCTAAAGAGGTCACGAAGCGAGTGGACACAGATGAGAGAGAGTGGGCGACTTGGAATTGGAAGACGGAGGGGGACTTAATGGTGAACGGAGCATACTTCGTGGGATCGGGAGATTGGGTGAGCACCCAATACGCCCAGGACTCGTCTCTGCCACCGCAATCCGCCCTTCACATCGACCTCCTCACCCTCAACGCCGGCGTCTTCAATGATCCCAGCGAAAGCGGGGATATATATCCTGCGTTCACGGAGAACGACGGCAGTGGCATTTCTGGAGACGGGATCATGCCCAGGCATGGCAGCACCAACAATGCTTCACTCCTGTCTCCATTATTTTCATTTCTCCTTTTCTGCACTATTGCATCTACTGTTATATTAATATTGATGAGTCTGTATTAAGGTTACCCAATTCAAGTTGCCACTAATGCAGTGTTGCACGCACCAATACACACACACACATATTTTTGTGTATATGTAATAGAACTATTTATGGATCTAAAATATAAAACTTGTAAAGCAAAGGAAATCAAATGTCAAATTTAATTATTATTTTTGGAAAAGAAAAGGCCCTGTTTCAGGTGAGGCGGCAAGGATAGAAGGGAGCATTTGTTAATTGGTGCCTACAAACGGAAACATGGTAGGTTGGTTTGAAACGAGAGCAATGACTTTATCTCACAAGTAATTGGTATTAGTAGGCGTATATGATATATGGGCAAAACAAACGCGTAATATTGAATGGCGGGGAAGCCCGTGACGGCGAGGAGTCTATCACTCTCCGGGAACGGCAGAAAGATCACCATCCACTTTGAGCACATCATAAGTACATAAATATATGGGATTACCCCCACCATGTTTGTGCTTATTCTTCCCAATTCCGACTACAAGCGTCGTCCCTTGTATATTTAGGCCCTCACTCGTCACATATACGGTTTCCCACATGCCTTCATTTTGGAACTGCTTATGCCGCTTCCCCAGGTTCTCCTTTTCTCAAGTCGCGCCCACCTCCTCTCTCTTCCTCTCCCCCCACATTAAACTAATAAGGCCGGTCTATATTGGGATATTCCCCAAGCGTTGGAAGAAGACATGATTGGGTTCGCACGCAGAGGGGTGCTTCGAGGAATCTGGTGGATATGCAATTGGAAAATTGGCACCAGGCCGATGTTCAGCTTGGCAGAAACTGAATCGTCACAGAGACATGCTTGCTCACGACGCTGCTGCCCGCCTCTACAACTACAAGACCCGCTATCAGGATCCCATAAATAATTCTTCTATATAGAATTGCATGCGCTTCATAACTGGGAAGAAGAAATGCTAGTTGATCGAGCTAATTTCATGAAGGTGTTATTGATTCAACACTCTTGCAAGCTCATCTCACACCATTGGAAAAAGCCGGTCAAGAGACCTACCCAACGATCCCCCAACTTCGCGTTTGGATGGTAATTAAGTGAATTCTTTCTTTAGACAGGAGATAAAATTCTTGTCTATTATTTCCAACGTAGCGTTGATTAAAGGTCTATAGAACCTTTGACAGAAGGACACTACCCAAAGTCCATGAGAACTCTGGCGGGAAAAAGATTGCCCATATTCAACGCAGGGGGTACGATCAGGCTTAAAGGCGCCATTGACTTCCTCGGTTTAAACTACTTCGGCTTTAAATATAAGACCCCTTAAATTACATTTTAAAAAGGGTCTTATATCTAGGACCAGAAGAATATTATACCATATGCCTCTCTTGAAGAAAGCAAATTCCTCTTACTTCATTAAACTGAGGCTTATGCCTATCAAAATAACACATTTTATTTGATTTTGACAGGTCGACGCGATGGGATTCCATTGTCCAAGGGTATGAGGATATGAATACGTCTGATCGCCTGGTTCCTTTGCTTTTAAAAGCACGCCTTGACATATAACTAAGAAAAAGCTAGGAATCTATTTGCAGGCAGTTTCAGATGGTTCTACATCGATCCGAGAAGAATTAGAGATCTTCTCTGCTCTGCACCAGAACCAAACACAAGGATCCACCAGTTTACATAACTGAAAATGGCATGCAAAATATCCATGCTTTCATAATTTTAATTTAAATTGCAGTGTGGCCGCACTCTTGATTATAGGTGCAGATGTGGAAAGTGATGCTACCCTCTCACTTGAAGAAGCCCTTGTTGACGCTTATAGAATTGATTACCACCACCATCATCATCTGTTTTCTCTCCACAAAGCCATAAGTATGGATCTATTTTTCTGATACTCGAAAGACGGATGCATGGGGGTGCGTGTGTGTAATCTAATTACCACCTCTGGTCCTCTGGTTGACAAATTTGAATACATAAAAAAATTAGTTAAGTTAGTTACTAGTAATAAATAGGTGTTGTTTTTCCTAAAATATTCTTACTAATCAAGTATATTGGTCAGAGCTACCACTATTATAAAAATTATATTGAAATAAAATAGATAAATATAAGAAACAAAGTAGATTAAGATATTATATTTATGATCAAAATAAAAATCAAACAAAGTTTTAGGTCCTTTTTGGTACGAAGCATTAAAAATAAAAAGTAGGGATTAAGATTAGAATTGAGAAAATATATTTAAATAGTATTTAACATAAGAGATTGCTTATTACATGAGATTTGTTTGATCTCATGTAACAAACAATTATTCATATTAAATACTTTTTAATGATTTTTTTCAATTACAATCTCAGTCCCTATCTCTCATTTTTAATACTTCGTACCAAACGGGATTTTATATTAATAATGGAAGTGGTATTGGTTATAAGCATGCCTGCTGATACTGGCTTTAAAAGGAAACATGTGGGCGTTTCATGATCAATTGCTGTTTTGACAAATTCGAAAGTCCGGGAAGGGGTGAAGGTGTGGAATCGTGAAAGGGGCTTTGCATGGTCATTATTTGACAATTTTGAGTAAAACAGTAGTTACACCGTAGCTTGATCTAAGGCCCTGAACGGATAAGCTCCTAAAATCTAGCTTACTTTTCCAGGTTTTTTCTCCCCACCCTTACTTCTCCACGTTACTGTTTACATTTATTTGGCAACTCTTATTTAAAAAAAAAAAAAGAACTTAGCTATTTCCAAGAAGAATGCGATTGAGGCATAGTTCAACCTGCATAGGGGATAATGCACGTTTTAATCTTTTATATAATACTTCAAATATATTTTAAATAATTGATCCAAGCCTTGCTGATTAATTACCTGAACAATTCTGACACGGCCTTTGTGATCTGACCTATATTAAATAAAAGAGATTTAAAAAATTACTTAATTATAATGCATATTACATGATCTTTCTACATCATTTTGTAAGCTAAATAAATTAGTTTTAAAAAAAATAAATATAAATATTTTAAATAATTTTTAAATTTTCTTAATCTTTCTAAATTACTCAATTGGATAACATATATTAGGCACTATATGAAGTAATTTATCAATTTTATGAATTTGTTTTTCAGACGGTACTCCTATCGCTCTGGAAAAGAACAAAATAAAATGGGAAAGAGAAAAGTAAATTCAAATAAGGGCGTTATGACTTATGAGAGAGCGGAAGCCGTGAAGGCGTGAACGCAAACAGTCTCCGTGTCTTACTCCAGACAACGTGTGGTTGGCATGGCAGCCCCACGTGGTTCATTCTCACTGATGCTTTTAGCTTCTCCTATCCTCCCCATCTAATCCCTCCGTAGATTCCTTCGAATCTTCTTCTCTCGAATCTCCATTCATCTTCTTCCTTCTTTGCTTGTATCTCCGCTTCACATCCATCACACAACATGCCCCGCTCCTTCTAGCCTCCCTCGCCTGGCAGAATGAGAGCTTTGAATTCGCATTTCGTCATCATCGATCTTCACTCTTCCTGGCGCTCCGCCCACCATATCCCCTCTTCAACTCTCGCCTACCTCAAATCCTCCACCGTCATTTCCACCATCTCCTCGTCGTTTCGTCGAACGCGTCATTCCCACAGAGCGATCCGCTCCAATTCATCTTCTGCCTCGATCCCGTCCCCGGAAATTCGAAGACCCTCTGACCGATTCTCTTCTGCTAATGGCTTCTCCTCCTCAAGTTCTCAGAACCTGCCTTCCACTTCGCGCACCGGGGCTGCTTCCGAATTAGAGCTGTTTCTCGATTTATTGCCTTTGAAAATGAGGAGGGAATTGTATCGCCACGACGAACTTGGCGGGCTTATTGAAGTTGTGATGGATTTGGGTAGGAAGCCTATTGCTCGGTTCCCATCTGGTGACTGGGAAATCTCGCAACATCCCATAAGGCACGATGATTTACGGCACGCGATTTCCAAGGTAAGTTAACGCATATGGCTTCTATGATTGACCATCTTGTTGGAAATTGCGAGTCTAATACCCAACGGGATTAGCTCATTAACACGATGGGAGTTGATTCCTCTGGAGAGTGTCAACGCGTGGTTAGTACAACCTTCAGATAGATAAGGAAAGATTGATAACTTCTGTTCTATTAGACAAACTTTAGTAGTCAAACTTCACCCTTGGTCTCGTTATTTCGGCTGCTAATTGATTACTACTTTAGCTGGGGATCCTTTGTGTGATTGTATCAATCTTTATCGAGTTGAACTGTGTCTGGAAGCTGAGATCTACTACTTTTTCAGAGAATTTTTGTTATCGTGTTAGGTTGGTGAGTTTTCTGATGACAACAGATCGGGTATTGATAGCTCTTTACATCGTATAAGTGCAATTCGTAATCGTAAATTGCAAGTTATTGGCCTCACGTGCCGGGTGGGTCGAGCTGTAACTGGTAGTGCTGAGATTATACGTGATTTAGTGGAGGACGGAGGCTCCATCTTGGTAATAGGACCTCCTGGAGTGGGTAAAACAACCTTAATCAGGTAAAACCTGTCAGTGAATAAATTTGTGTGGTTCCCCTTTAGCATATGCTATATTTACCATGTAAAGCTTATTCATCAACGCAGTTTTGCGAATGTCAAAATATGTTAAAAGATTTTGGAAAGATTAGTGCTTTTTAGGTACCTTTGGCCATTAAATTAGTAGTTGCGTTTTTTATTGACCGGTATATATGCCTAATGTGGCTTCGTTTGTCTAGAGAGATTGCTAGGATGCTAGCAGATGAATTTATGAAGCGTGTTGTCATAGTAGATACCTCCAATGAGATTGGAGGTGATGGTGATGTCCCTCATGCAGGCATTGGTCGTGCAAGGAGAATGCAAGTTCCCAATGTAAATATGCAGCATAATGTGAGTACTCATCTCAATCTCTTGTATTCTGAGACTTCTGATGTTTTTCTGCCTTCTGCAGTGTTGCTTATGTTGTTTCTTTATGCAGATTATGATTGAAGCAGTAGAAAACCATATGCCCGAAACCATCATAATAGATGAAATTGGGACTGAGCTTGAGGCATTAGCAGC